TGGGTTAGATCTTCATATTGAAAAGCCCTTTTCCATGGTCCTTAGGGCCTAGGTGGAAACGGCATATTTCCATGGGACATGGCTTCAAGGTTATCCGAGGCTTCTCTGTCGGATAGACATCGGAGGTGTTCTGGGGCAACTCTGTATACCCTACTGGAGAAGGAAACCCAAACCACACTTTGACCTTGCTGCACTATGACCCCTGGCTGGGCCAATCCATTGGCCTTTCCTTTCACCACGTCCAGGTCGCCAGAACATGACAAACATTCCGCCCAGATATCGGCCCTGGTAGGGTCTCTGGCGGCGCAAAAAGGCTTTTCGCAATTTGTCATTAGATTCGGCTTGGATGAAAGCCAGGCGTGCACATTCTCTCTTTTGCAATTGCTGTCGGAACTGGATTCCTTCTGGCGTCTCGCTGTCAGCAAGGTAGTGGGAGGCTTGTGGCTCATCCGAGTCTAGGCTACTGGGTAGATGTCGACTCTTTCCTAGCACTAGGATTTCTGGGGAATATCCCTTGGTGCGGGACAGTGCATTCTTGGCATTACAGAGATGATGGAGGGCATCTTTGAACTGGTCGTCATTATCTATGATCACATCTTGTTCAAATCGTTCCAGCATATGTTGCAAGATTTCACCATGTCCCTCCACTTTCCCCATTTGCCAGTGAGCAAATGCAGCCACCACACGCAAGTGAATGTCCAAGCCTTGTGCTAGACTGGAGAATTGCTCTGCACAAAAGGCCGATCCATTGTCTACAACTAACTGGCGACATGGCCCTGCCCAGGCAAACCAATGGTCCTATAGGACTTCAAATAAACTCAAGGCATCCGTTTGAAACACTGGCTGTGCTACTTGGAAGCACGTGGCAACATCGATACAATGCAAAAACTGGTACTTCTTGCCAGTCTTGGCAGTCCAAGTGACAAGATCGCATCGCAGCCTACGCAGTCATTGAATTCTCGAGGCTCGGACAAATGGGCTGGTCTGGCTATATGCGAGGCTCTTGCAGTTCATGACATGTGCTACAGCGGTAATCTGACAAGCCTTGGATGAGTGAATCATCATAACCCTGGTGTTTCAAAACTTCCTGCAATTTGTTCATGCTGGAATGGCCTAGATTGTGATGTATCTTTGATATCCATTGGTGATGCTTTGCGGGCAAGCTGGTGAACTTGGGACCATGTTTGAGGGTTGATTGTTGTAGCGGTTCTAAATCCCCAGAGTTTACGGGGTTATTTACCTTGTTCATCAGTGGGTCACTTTCCCTCAAGGAGTCTGCATCTAATTTGACATCCCTCTCATGGTCCTCCTCTTGCTGTTTGGCTCGTTTTGACATGGAGTCACTGGTTTCTTCTGCAGGTCTTTTATTTGGGATGTTTTCACGACCAAACATGGTTATCATGATTCTTCAGCACACATCTGACGATGGCTCATCCGTTCCCAATTTTCCCATGGTTGCAGTGGAGTTGGACTTCGGATGGAGACGTTCGGATGGGTGGTTTGCGAAATCTGTCAGCTCCCTTGCAGAGTTCAATCCCTCGAATTTTTCGTTCTGGGAACATGGCCTGAAGAGCGTCAAAAAGATCTCCAGTTTCCAATCTCAGCGTGCCAACACGGGGAGCAACTTTCAAGGCTTCCTTTCACACCTTCATCTGAGGTCGGACAGATCTCTGGGGTATCTTTGACACTGCTATCTTCATGTAGGCCCTTTACATCCTGAGGCTCAGGATATCCAGGCGCTCGTGACACTTTGAACACAGGCATTCGGAGGAGACTATTGATATTTCCTGATCCTGTTTGCTGGCTAGAATGGTCCTGGAAGCCCTGTGACCACATGTACGTGGAAATGCTCAGGGAAGGGAAATGGGGCCCCAAGTACCATCCGATCTCTATAGTTTCCAGCTACTGGTGTATGTTCATGATGTCGGGGACAACGTTGAGAATCAAGGTATCTCTGCATTATTATGGAAGTGGTCAACACCTGAGTTCCCTTCTGCATAGGCATTTGTGTTTGGGGGCGTTTCAACATGCCGGCTTTGCAGAAATCACACCTGGCGCGAAGAGTGTTGGACACAACAAACTGCATGACTTCTTGATTCAGCATTTCTGATCCTACCGGTCGTTCAAGATGGCAGTGATAGGCCGGGCCTCGTGCACACTGAAACGCAAAGACGGCTTTGCAGATCAGCAAATGAACTTGGTCATTGGACTGAGCTTCAACAACTTTCTGGGCCATTTCCGGAGATTTTAGAGGCATTGAACTGATTCGAGCGACACCAGGCTTTGCACTTGGGCGACAACCAGACATGACGGGGTCTGCATCGAAAGAGGATGTCATACCAACGGCTTCGGCATTCATAATAACTCAAATCCCCTTGATTGAGACCAAAATGAATGGCTTTCAGACCCTGTCGGATGCTCTGTCCAGTTAGCTGGCTATCGGCTGAGCAGTAAACCTCTACCCAGGCTTTCAGGTGTCAGGAATTTCCGAAGGCGTCAAGCCAACTCTTATCGACCCCATACTTGATTATCTCATGCCTGATCTGGTTATCGGTTATTGGGTTCCTCATGATTGCTTGTTGTGGATCCCAGGTTGACTGACCTAATGCTTCGGCATACTGGTTATACTCCTGAATGCATTGCTCAATCAGGAATGTCTGTGCAGGGCTCGTCACTGACTTGGAGTCCCAGTCTGTTGCTGGCTCAGCAGTTTGACAAGCTGGCCGATCACTTCGCTCAGGAGTTCAATCTGGTCCAGGCGCTTGGCATTCTTGGACTCCCGGATGCTCGCAGCATTGCTAGGCTGTTGTCCCATGTCTCTCGTCCTCGATCTCGAGGTCGATGGGCTCCATCGCTGAGGCCACCGGTGGTCATGGGCTTGCCCTTGGCCTTGGGGCACACTGGCAAAACTTTGGGTGGCATTGGCTCTGTTGATGCATTTCCTCCCGGTGATTTCCCTTGTTCCAGCTCCTGGCGCTCGATCCACAGGCCCAGAAAGAGACTGAACGTCTGGTGCTCCTTCTTTGGGCTGGCACCCCACTTCTTGAGAAACCACTTGCAGTAATTGGGATCGGTCGCCACCACATCCGCGAACTTCTGCCCCTTCTTGGCCTCCTCAAAGAGGATGACTTGATGGCTCAGCTCCTCGTACGACAGCTTCTTCACTTCCTGGACATGCTGTTCCTGGGACTTGCTGCACTGCTGCGAAACGATGCGGAAGATCGGCTGACATGGCTGACAGGACCGGACTGAGCGTTCACTGACACTGGAAGGCTGATCGGTCTTGCTGCTTCAGACTGGCTACAGTTCGGAAGTGGCTCAAGGCTTGCATTCGGAGCGTGTACAAAGCACACCATGCTCGATCACTCTTGGAAATTGAGACGTCTAAAAAGTGCACGCCGTTGTGGCGCCAAGCACATTTCGAAGCCAAAACGTTAAAAACAACAGGGCTTTGGACCACTTTTGGACGTTCAGATGTCGTTTCGCGTGGCAAGCGCAAGGTGTTGACCTTGTCAAGAGTGGGCAAACGTGAGGGTTTTGTAGCATTTCAAAAACGGTGGCAGGCGTGGGACATTTGAAGCGGATCTGCAAGGATTCATTTTCCGTGGCAGGCGCAGTACAAGAGACATGTTCATCAGAGCTGTTAGGCTCTCATTTCCTGAGAGCGGTTGCATTTTGGAGCATCAGATCTTCAGGTTTGCTGAGATGATTTTGCGTGACAGGCGCAGCACTTCGTATGACCCGATAGCACTTTTTCGTGGCAGGCACAGTAGTTAGACAGATGGACGGGACAAATCGCAAAACGTATTGGTACGAGGCCATCGGCTCTGCACTCGACTTACCATTTTGAAGGAAGTCTGGTCGTTTTTTGATGTTGTCAATTTAAAAAATGAGAAGGTCTCGCAGAATTGCTTCGTTTTTTATGTGGTCAACTTCAAAAAATGAGGAAGTCTCGCAGAATTGCTTCGTTTTTGATGTTGTCAAGTTTGAAAAATGAGAAAGTCTCGCAGAATAGCTAGGCTTTCAAGGTTGCAGCTAGACAGGTAGATAGATAGACAGACAGACAGACCGAGAGATAGATAGATAGATAGATAGATAGATAGATAGACAGAAAGATAGATAGATCGATCGATAGATAGATCGATAGATAGATAGTTTGAAAGATAGATAGATATATATAGATATATAGATAGATTATACTAGATTAGATTCGATTCGATTAGATAGATTAGATTAGATTAGTTTAGATAGATAGATGGATTAGATAGATAGATTTAGGTAGATTTAGATAGATCTAGATAGATAGATAGATTTAGATAGATAGATAGATAGATAGATTGTTTGATTGGTTGATTGATTGATTGATTGATAGATTAATAGATGGATTTAGATAGATAGATAGATTTGGATAGAAAGATAGATAGTTCGATAGATAGATAGATAGATGGATGGATAGATAGATAGATTGATTGATAGATTGATAGATTGATTTAGATAGATAGATAGATGGATGGATGGATGGATAGATCGATAGATAGATAGATAGATAGAGAGAGAGATAGATGGACACAGAGATAGATAGGTGAGTAGGTAGGTAGATAGTCAGAGAAAGAGACAGAAAGAGAGAGAAGGAGAAGAGACCTCAACGACTTGTCAGTCTATCAGTGGTTTCGCTCTGCCATCCGTGATTCACAACAACCAACCTCTCCTATAGGTTTCCTATTTTTGAAACTTCCGCCACCGCCTTGTGCGGTACTACTGGTATTGAATGCCAACATGAAAAACCTTTGTGAATTGATTCGAAATTCGCAGCCCACCTTTTCTATTCCATGTCGACCGGAACCTTGGGTACACCTGAGCCCCCAATGGTCAAGCAGACAATGACTTGGCAGGAACTAGCCTTTACTTTTAGATGCAACAATGATCCACAGTTTGTTTGAGACCCATGGCACTGGATATTCGTTTGAAATCCGAAGTCGTGTTGGTGTGAACTACTTCAGGTTGTACGCATCATCAGCGATCTCTTTGACAAATTTGATGCATCTTGACGACAAAATCCAAGGGGCGGGGAGCCACTGCCGCTGAAGACAATGCTGATGATGGTGGTGACAATTTTGACTATCATTGCATCATTGCCACTTTCTATTGTGGTTTTCTGGTTAATGTCTGATAAAGAAGTGATGTTTGGAGCTGGTTGACATCCATAGGTTGGACCTGGTGGACCTGGTTTTGAGGATCTTGCAGATCAGTATCACATCTACAAGGTGGAGACCGTTGGGGATGCCTACATCGTCCCTGGTCTGCAAGCGCCGGACTACGGCCTGTAGACTTCCCGAAAATTGGCATAAAACACAGCAGCCACAGAGAAGTTGTGGGGCATCCTGATATCAAAAGATCCAGAAATATCCTATATCCGAAACTGGTTTTCTCAAAATTGTATCCAAAACATTCCAAAAACATCCAAAAACCATGTTTTGCGGCACAGATCGCAGGCTGGTCAAGCGGACAATCCACTGACCAGCTGCAATCAACCTCTGCGACTCGGCGGTGATTTCTGGGAATTTTCATCGGCAAAACGAAGGGAAAATTGATGCTGGGTAAACTTACCAAGTGGATTTGTTGTGATTTCTGGGAGATTTCTGGAAAATGATGCCGGGACCCAGTGGATTTAACATGAAAGTTGAGGTGTTGAGATATGTCGAGTTGGACTTCGTACTTTTTTCCCTGAATTTTTTGGTGCTGGGAAAGATGTAAGGAGCACTTGAGGAGCACCCCAAGACTTGGAGTAGGTTCTAGATGTCTATCTCTTTCAAGCGGAGATCAATAATATACTTATTTAAACGTTTGAGGTTCTTCAACGACATGTCTTTAGTCTCAAGACGAGTCTTCATGGAGGAAATGGGTTGTCTGAATATAGGGTGCTCTTAAATCCACTGGTGTATCATAATTTTTCCTGTTAAATTGCCATAAACTTATATAACTTATATACATATACATATATAAACATATATATATATATTTATAGGTGGTACATCCCTCAGTTTCAGACACACCCAGACAGTGACAATGGAAAGTCTTGGGCACATATCCGCTCGTGCCATATTTGAGTGGGTGTGTGTGGGTCTATCACTGGGTGCACCCGACTATGATTTGCAAGCCCCCGTAAGTTGAGATATGAGCCCCTTTGTATGCTGAAATACCAAATACAACCACTTAGTTCACTTAAAGTTCACTCCACCCCAAAGGCATGTTGGGAAAGCCCCTCATTCCGCTGAGTCATAAACAATGCCCAGATTGGTCGTGCTCTTCGGAATACAGATGACCATGGCGACCCGCACTTGGTCTGCTCAGCAAGGTGAAAATATCAGCCTCTTGGCGCTTAGACCGTAACCATGATGTAGCTTCAGAATTTGAAAATTGTTGGATGATCATTATTTTTGCCATGAAAACTTCCTTTGATCTTCTTTGGATATCTTATGTTAGACAAAGACACCTGAATGCCTGTGAAGTTGGACCCTGTGAGGTTGTCGCGTGGGAGTTCATACTGGAGAATGTGTGGGTGGCATGGCCACTTGGCCCAAAGAAGGCATAGCGTCTGGACATTTTTATGAAGTAATGTGGCAAACCCAATGCCATAAACCATCCCATTCATCGACCATCTGGGGGTCATTTTACATCATCCCATTTCTAGATATTTCTAGGGCTATCCCCAATACGAAACCTCAACTGGGGATGGTTTATTATTGGGTTTACGGTTTACCTTATTGATAGATTTGATAGGGATGTTCCAAAACTCTGATGAATCAATGATGGTGGGTGGTAGCGTTTCCATGTTGCGCAAATCTTGTGGAACCTATTTGACCAGTTTGTGTTCATGAGGAAAAGTCCAACTATATCCAACGATGCTATCGGTTTCCCATTCATTTTGTGACCCGAGTCATGGGAAGTTCTGCTAATTGGGATATTTTGCGTGGTTGATTTGTAAGGGCTATACTATACCGATTCAATAGCCGGTGAAACCGCACAAAACGTGCAAAAAAGACGACTAGACTGCAGTAGACTAGACATATGTACGTAGTTGTATCCCATCTTGAGGGTTCCAGTGTAGGTACTGTAGGTTCTCTACCATGACTCTGACCTATTCTTGCTGCCCAAAGCTGCACCAAAACTTGGGTAGTTGCATCCTTCCCAGACTTGGTTCTTTCGGCAGAATCTACAGGAACCCCCTCGCCTTGGCGGTAAAAACAATGGTAAAAACCATGGTAAAAGCCACTCAGTATCCTCAGATTCCTCCAAAGAAAAACATCAAATGAATCCATTGTATCACAGGGTTCCCCATCTCTTGAGGTCGGCGAATCGATGCAGCGCTACCACCTATTTGGGGACCTGATGCGACGACTCGAGTCCCTTGCTGGCTTGTGGCAACCTTGGGTTATGACGGTTATGATTAAGCTATATTAAGCTCAGCAATAAATCATGGGCCTCATGGGGTATCAGTTGACAGTAACAAACGATATGGATGTTTCTTCACGAAGATGGCAATCTCTTGAGGATCTTGGAAGCCACAGCTCCCACGGGACAAGTGCAAGTCAGCAGGCGGGGATGCTGTTCCAATATGGGAAAGGCTTGGTGGATGTGGGCTGATGTATGGTATGGTAGATCGCCCCTGGATTTTTCCCGAACTGAAACATGACACTGTTTGCATGTCTTGACCAGTGAAGGAACATGTTTGATAATACTTGGATGGATCGAAGGTGGTTGTTCTACAGTTGGGTGGTATCCAGTCTTGAGACGATGCTGCTTGCCAGGGTTTACTGTTGCAGCGGCCCCTGTAGATACTAGGTATTTTCTCGAACATGTTTCTGCAATTGGGGCAAACACCCAGGTTTCCCCACAAGAATAGGCCAATTGGGATGAAGTATTGTGATTCCCTTGAACGAGAGAGCTGTTTTCCTTAGGCTTCCTCAAATCAGCCCATTTTTGCGTTTGCCGAGTGGGAAGCTGCATTGGTGATACGCCAGTTGCCCAGGGCCTGCAAGCAAGCGGTTGAAACGCAAATCCAAAGACACCCGCAAGAGGCACGATCCCTGTCACATGTTACATGTCTTGACGGTGCCAAAGGGCTAGCTAGTGCTTCCACTTCCTGACCTTCAGTTGGAGATTGGGGGTCCATTTTGCATGGATTCCTTTTGTCCATTCTGATGCGGTTCTTTGGATGTTTTCTTCCCAACAGATGTCGCTTTGGCTACCTGATGACTGATGATTTCACCCAAGGGATGCTTAGGGGGTCTCCCAGTTGTCTCCCAGAATTGGCCCTTCCAATTGTCTCCCGATTGTCTTCGCCTTCCACATCACCCAATTGTCTTCCAGATGTGGGGACTCGGTCCCCACATACAAACACCGAAGTGCCTTCCACCTGTTTCTCAGTTGCCTCCCAGATGTGATCGCCCAATTGTCTCCCAATGGCTTGCGATCGAAAATACACCATTTAGTTCGATGATTTTCCCAGCGAACTAAACCTCTATGTATAATATGGTTTTCCATTGCTATGCTTGATTACCCGAGGGCACTTTCAAGTTCATGGTTTTCAATCCTGAAAGCAAATCCAACTGCTAAAAGGTGGCTGATGTCATGGAGCACGTCATCTTTCAAAGTCGTGCAGAACAGGTCCTTACCAGTTCCAAAGGCGCCTGGCCGTGTCATGATCATCATGGGGTTGGTGCAGACCAAGTGCAAGCGAATTCCCAAGCATCCTCCGTCCATATGGAGTCCATATGGAGTTTTTCAGATGATTTCTGGTGAATCCAATGGTGATTTTAGGTTGCAGGAGTTAAAATGTCCCAGCCCATCCCAGCCCGCTTGGTCCATCTTGGTCCTTGAGGCTGCCCTGACCTCAGAAATCCAGTCAAGACCTGGCCAGGTGAGATCCATGACTACAGCGAGGTTGGTGGGCCAACCTACCTGGCACGCCCTGCCCCGAAAAAGATGGCACCATGGGAGCTGGGTTCATGGCTGGTTTCTGGCTGGTAACTTTGAGGGGATACCATGTGTGGAACAGCAGCATATGTGGGAATGCGTTCAAATTATCCATTGGTACCCCATTGGTACCCCATTTGTATCCATTTGTGCCATGGTCAGTATATAATTCATTCAGCCCAGATTGACACACCCTTGAGATGTAAGAAAAGGGAGAGGTTCCATTTCAGTAAATTATCGATATCTCTCTAATTCATCAACCTGGGTTCATAAATTCGGGGTGGACCTGACTAATTTACCATAGGACCCCCTCTAGTTGATCGGACAAAACGATGGTTTGCCGTAGATTTTCCTTGCAAAACTAGTTGGTAGGGCTACTTGTAGAGCTTCGCAGACCGGCGATGCGGGAATGTGTCGGAGTCGAAGAAATATCATGGTCCTGGTTGCTGTACTTTGGTGTTTTGCTCATTTGGCCCCAACCCAACCAGCGCCTCACTGATTCGTTCGCCTTGTTTTCGTGTTTCTTTCTCTTGCTTCTGCCTCTTTGCCTTGTCTCGCTGCATCTAGTTTTCCTGCTTCTTGTTCCCTCTACCCTGCTTTTGCCCTTCTTCCGGTTTCTTCTCCTTCCCTTTTTTCCTGTTTTTCTTGTTCTATTCCTTGTTTTTTGCTTTGTTCCCTTTCTTCTGTTTTTTTCTTTTTGCCCCTTTGTCCTGAAACCCTTGCACTTCATCACCTTTGGTCCTGAAATCTTTTCTCTGATGCGCTCCCCCTGCCGCAGGCTGGGGTTGGCGGATTTTCGGCCAGCTCACAACTCCCAAGATATAACATGATATAACATGATATAACCATGTAGATTCATAAGCACCCAATACCACCCGCAACTGTTCAACCACATTGGAAGGATGCGCTTGGTGACCTTTGGAGCGCCTTCCTTGGAGTGGCAGCTGGAGCAGGTGCGGGGCTATAGCTGGATGTTCATATCTCTATGGTGTTATAATGTGTTATATATATATAGGTTTTGACTAATTCTTGTCTAAGAAAGTGACCCCAAGACATGTAATTCATCACAACCCGCATTTCTTGGGTCGAATTTCCAATTTTGGTTAGAATTTATTAGTCTTTTTATGGTTTGAGCATCGGCCAATTTTTTGAGAATTGCCTATGTTGCCCCACGATTTCTGAATTCAACCCCCCAAATTGGCGCCCCAGTGAAACGACAGAACGCCCTCTGAGGCGCAGGCGACCTTCGGGCAAATCCCGCGGCAAGGGTTGGGGAGCCTGGGCGATACCCCCTGGGATGGTTACCATGTTTTCGATCCTCAGAAATACGAAATTGGATGAACATTTGCGGTCCTTTGGTGCTTGAAATTAATATTCCTTGAGAACCAAAACCCGCAGAAATCTTAGGGTTTGAAAAATACCTGAGGTTTTCTGACAAAACCCGGGGTATTTTAACCCATTCTGAAAGTACGGGTTATGTACGGGTTAGGTACGGGTTAGTACGGGTTAGGTACGGGTTAGGTACGGGTTAAGTACGGGTTAGGTACGGGTTAAGTACGGGTTCAAAATCAATACCCGAGGTCTTCAATCGAAAACCCAGGTTTTCTTATTTTTTCCGAAATACCTCAGGTTCTTGCGTTGACCCGAAGAATTCTTAGGGTTTTGGTTCTCCAGGTTGATATATATTGATGACATTTGCTGACATATTGATATCAAATGGGCCTGGGTCAAAGTTCCAGGCTCTTCTGGGACCACACCAAACCAGTTGAGTTTTGGGGACTAGCCAACTTCGAGACATCCCCAAGGATGTCCACATACTTGGGACCAACAGAGGCAATACTGGACTGTTTGAGATGCTTTGGACACCCGAAAATACATGAGAACTCATGAGACATTTCTTGGATCGGATCAATTCGCAAGATGATCATTTCTGAACAATGTCCATTCACTTAAACATGAAATATCCTGGATGGTCCAAAGTTTAAAGTTTCATGCCTTATGGGCATCAGGCAAGGCTGCGGAGAGGCAGCTCCAAGCTTTCAAGGACCGGAGAAAACGATGTGGAGAGGTGGGTTTTGCTGATGCCAGGATGGTAAAGTCATCCAAGAATAGACCATCCATGACCATCCAGAATTTGACCAGAAACTGGTGGTGTACACCATCCTAATCCTCAATGGCCTGGTTCTGTATTTCCACTTCCGTTTCTGCCGCTTGGTCCTCCTTGTAATCCAGGAGTTGTGCCTTATCCGAGCTCTTCCCTGCAACAACTCCTACGGATGCAGGTGGAGATTTCATCATCCGGTGCGGGTGGGTTCAACGAAATGCCTGAAACTGAGTGCATGGGGTTTTCCCAGCAAACATAGTCAGAAATAGTCAGAAATAGTCAGAATACCACCAACAATCATTGGTATTTCATGGAGATATACCTGAGACCTGAGATGGTATAGATTGAACCTGGGGGTACTGGGGTACCTCAAGAACAAGGGGATTATTTAGAAGTGATCCATCCATTTCTGGTCCGGCAGTCCCGCCTTACATTTTGACACCATGTTGGAGGCCTGGACAGTGGATGCACTACATCCTCCAAGAACACCTTGGGAACTTCTTTGGAACCACAAAGAACTGGTTTTGAAGAGTATGTTTCTTTTGTAAATTGCCATGAATTTGAGGTTTATGTCAAATTTCAGCCGGAAAAAAATGTTTTGTTTGCCTTCACCAAAGAGCTCAACTATTTTTTACTGAAGAAAAGACCTTTTATTTGCTACTCTTGGGCCATGGCCTGCGACTGGAGCCAGGGCTTGACGCCCAAACCGGAGCTGCATATGGTCTTTCCAATGCGGACCTTGCGGCCCTGGATCAGGTGGGGCGGAAGCCAAGCTCTGCAGTTGAATGCCCTACTTTTATGGTGAAGACTCTGATTTGGGACATTTTGGGACCAATAGCTTGGCATTTTCAATTTCGTAGCTTTTGGGATGCAGTATTTGATGCTTGTCCTGAACAGCATTGTGAATGGCATCCATCTGAGTGTGGCCAGAGGCACGTGGACACCAATGAACACATGGCCAATGTGTCTTGAATTCACTTAAATTTCAGCTAGGCACAAGGATTCGCAGTCACTGAACTCACCTTATCATTTTGTGTGGTATTGATGTCAGTTCTTTCGGTTGGCAGGTCACCGGTGTATCCTTTTGCCTTGGACATAGTGGATATGATGGTGCCGTTCTGTTGGCGATGCAGGAGCAACCCGATGGCATATCTTCAGCACATCCTTACCTTTGCCGCCAGCTCAGCCCTTGTCCGATGTCCGATGCCACCAATCGGATCTGCTGTGAACTGAGGCAGGGAAGGACTCACTGCTGCTGGCACTGAGGGACCAGTCTGGGCGCCCTGTGTGACATGAAGATCCATACTTCAAGTCTTCAAGTTCTTAGTGTGTCTAGGAAAACAGGCATTCCCAACTTGGAATATGGTTTGATCATGTTTGATGGCCATTTCATGATTTCAGAGGAAGTGTTTTGCTTGTTTTGCAATCGCCAAGTGAGACTACTTGGGACAGGAGTCTGAAAGTCGCTATTTTAGTGAGCAAAATGATGGTAAACCATGGGATTGGAGTGCCCCAATTTTTCAGTCAAAGCCAATTAATTAACCCAATTGTTTAGATTTCAAAGCACTGTCTGCTGGTTTTGAAAACTGCGAGGCTCAATGTGGCTTCTAGCTTGTCTGTGAACCGAGAAGCGCACAGCCTCAGAAACTCAAGCCAAACATCATTTGAGGAGTTCTTGAGGTTCTATTTTTGGGTCTGATTTGAGACTGCGATTCTCGATCTTTTTTCAGTACAGCAACTTCAAAACGCAACTGCACAGAGATCGCGCAAATGTATCCTTTCACCGGCAAAACAAGCGCACACCAAAAGGAACACACAACCGTTCCAACCAGCACAAGGATAACAAGGGATGAAACTGCTGTAATCAACCAGCGTAATGGCACGTAATGGCCATGTTTGTTCAACACCGCCGATCCAATGGTGGTCAGGACTCCAGTGCTGGATCCAAGATTGTTGTCTCCTTGTCCTTGCTTCCCGAGGCTGGGTACATCGATTCCACTTGGATTTAAGATGATTTAAGATCAGACTAAAATGACCCAGTTGAGTAATGTTGAGTAGAGATTGCTTTGACTGGGGATTTAGAAGTGGGTCATATTTACATTTGCATCTGAATCTCAACTGGGCCTCAAAAGTCAAAGCAATCTTGTGAAGGAATAGTCTTGGGTTGGGGTTTGTAACCAGTAAAGGTCCACGATACCTGTGTCTTTCCAGCTACGGACATGAAATGGAGAAGTCCCAGCTGGGGCCATCGGTTCATCCTTAACTAATATGGCTAGAAGAAACACACCTTCGTAGCTCAACGGTATAATGTCACTGCCGGAACCATATGGTTTCATATGGTTTCACGATAGAAAATAGACCGCATCGATTTATCCGTTCTTTTTTCAGCATAAACAGCATGTATCACAGGACTTGAACACTGTAGAAGACATCTCTCAAAAAAAAAACAAAAAACAGTAGTCATAGTACTCGTATTGCAATGATCCAACAAAAAAAACAGACATTTTGACCCATGATTGACCTCCCAGGGAGTGGAGCGGCTGCCCGCGGTGTTGGATGCTTTCTTCAGCTTCATCGCTCGTGCCCGTAGCGGCCTGGTCACCCATGGCTCAGGTTGGGTGAGGGGTGATTTTGGGCCATAATTGTCTATAGTAATATAATATTATCATATGTATACATATATATATATATATGTATGTATTATACGTATATTTACTATAATATAATTAATATAACATAATGTTATGTTATATTGTATTTTAAATTTTAATACATATCCATGCAGGTATTAGTGAATGTGTTTTAGACCATAACTGGAGGAACATACATAGTATCCAGCTAAACATTACCTCGCTGGTTCTATCGAAGGTGAAGCCGCAAAAATGAACCCTTGCCTTGAGTGCAAAGTCAGACTTGGATCAGAGCAGGGAAAAGAAATGGGCATACCCACAAGTGATGCCAATTTCACCGCCAATTTGATGTTACTTCGTTACTTCTGATGGGATTTGAGGTTCCAATCTTCTGCACACACCCAAATGAACATGCTCTCAACCTGAGCCACCAAACATGGCATGGCTGGCAGCAGCTTCCCGCGCATCTGCAAGAGAGTACCATCCAAACATTTTCTGTTTCCAACGAGAAGAACGTTTCACGTTGATCTTGAGCCAACAAACACGAAACATTGAGACCCGATTTCACAATCAACTTGAACATCCAATTTGTTGAACAGTTTCGTTTGTAAAGTTGATCCATCCGTTTTTTTTTGCCACTTGAAAGAAATGATTTGTGTAGTCATGTGCCACATCCACATTGGGATGTTCACCGGGCCCAGGTTATACCCGACTTACTGTAATTGATTGAATGAACTGGTAGACGGGACCGTAGTGCTTAGGGATATGCAACATGTATGTTTATCAAATGTATATATTGATACATATACATCATATACACAAGCCTATATAAATGCAAATAATACAAATAATGCAAATAATGCAAATAATTGTAATGCAAATAATGCAAGTAATGCAAATAATGCAAATTATACATGCGCCTATACATATATATATATAGAGGCGCCTATATATATTATATATATATATAGATTAATTTGATGTGATGTGATGTGATGTAATGTAATGTATGTATGTATATAATATGTAATATAATACATATATATATACACGCAATATATATACTATATATAAACTATATATATGTATATATATACTATATATATACTATATATACTATATATATATGTATATATATATATATGTATGTATATATGTATATATATATACACACGCATATGTATACACACACATATACACATATATACTACACACACACACATATATATATGTATAGCACACATTTCCAATCCTGGCTGTGGGACCCTTCAATGCAACCACTCCTTTGGCCACCGAGGTACTTCGAATGCGAAGCTTGGGGTCTTGCAATCGCTCGCAGAGTCCGGGGGCTGAAGTTGTCCATTGAAAATTGGGGACGCCGGGGACGCCCGAAGATCCACAAAAAACAAAGGTCTGCGCAAGTGGGCTATGACTGGTCGTCTTTGCAGGAGACTGGGCCATAGTTAGGGGCCATGATGAAATTCAAAGAATGAATCGGATGAACACAAGCTGAATATTTAGGTCCCCTGGTCTCCCAAAGTTGGAAGACTTGCTTGTTGTTACCAATGTGTTCTTTGCATAAGAGTCATCGCAGAATTCTGTTTGCGTTGTCTTCGTAGATGATGTGGGTCAGGGAATCCCTTTGGCCCCTCCATTTCTGTCCCAGCCTGGTTCAAGCGCAAACTTAGCTCCAAGAAGTCGTAGAAAATTCATGCAGCCATAGGTTTCTCCCCCCAAAAAGAAGTCAATCCCTAGAGTATACCCTCTGGTAAACTAACATAGCTATAGAATATCACCATGTTGAATAGGTAAATCATCTATTTTTATGGCCATTTTCAATAGCTATGTCTATGTCCTCAGGACGCCTCACGTGCCGCCTTTGAAGTGGCAGATGACATGACCAAACTTGGGGCGTGTGGATGCCTAGGGCGGTGCTGCCAGGGTTCGGACCCTTTCCGGCATAAGCAGCGGTTGGGTTTTTGGGTCAAGAGGGTTTGTTGGTGAAAATTGGCAGGTTTATGACTTTTATAGATCTTTATATAATAATTGTCATGATACCTACAAAAACACAATTAAATATCTTGTCGCTTGGCCCATTTAAAGTGTGCGACTAGGAGTGGATCCTCAAGTTTTAAGCTTGCCAGCGGCTGACCAGATCTGACCTGTTGGTGGCCGACAACCTAATCCTCGAGCCGGATGTCGTGAAGGTCGACTACATTCTCAACAGGCCTTTTTTGGGTGACGGATACAGTGGGCATGTGATGTGGTCAATGCACATGCTTGGCAGGCACTAAGAATGGATGTTTTAGCATGTGATGATGGCATATGATGGCTGTCATTTGGGGAGTGTCTGTCATTGGCTGATTTGAGTTGAATTGTCCAGGTTTTGAACAGTCCCAAATCACAAAAGCTAGTGGTAGCTTCAGCAAGGGGAGGGGCAAGATGGGCAAGCCTGAGTCCAACACAGTGATTTTTCACTCGAACTCACCCTCTAAGCTCCTGGGGCATTTTGAAGCGGTCTTGGAAGCAGATTGTGGCTCAAATCCTTGCAGGTCTCTAGGCAATCTGTATTCAGCATATCCCATCATTTTCCAGGCTCATATGACGTCATATGAAGCTTAGCTTTCGTTCACCCCCCCTTGCGCCCCAAGTATTATTCCTGGCTCGTGATTCCGTGCCTTTTGCTATTGGGGCTGATCATTATTTGAGAATGGAGTGTGAAGCCCTGCGGTAGGAGGCTTGCTTGTGTTGATATGGTGTGGTCATAACGAGTCATAACATGCTATAACCATACCTATAACCATACCTATAACCATACCTATAACCATACCTCTACAAGATGGCACAATTGTATTTGGATCACAGTTTAGATAACCTACCGGCCTTGCAGTGTTTAGGCTTTACTCCGGCCATGTCCATCGCAGCCTGGGCAGATTTCATCATCCTGCTGCTGGACCTGGTGGAAGGCATCATCGCCACCATTCATTTCGATGAACGCAAACATGAAATTGTGTTCCTGGCTTTCTACTGGACCCTCAGCAATCTGGTAGATGCCAATGTCCAAGATATGACTGAACGCAATAAGTGCCGTCGCTGGGGTGAGTGCATTTACAAATGCTTAGCAGTGGGCGGGCAGTGTGCTCTGTACATCCACTTCTGTGAGAAAGATGCGCGAGTCGACATCTCGCTGATCACTCTGATGGTGATCCAAATTGTTCTGAAGATCTTAGGGACGCTGCGGTGGCACTGTGGTGCTCGATATAGCAAAGAGGACTTGTTGGTTCGCCCAACTTTTCAGAATTCCACGACCAGATGGCAGGGTGGTGGCGGGATATTTGAGACCAAGCTCTTGAGGGTCCTTCCACACGCAGGAAGAGGCTTTGACTCCATGGTCATGGACAGCCAGGTTCGCCAAGAGGTGGTGGTGAGCAAAGAGAAGAAGGACGATTGCTGTACGTGTCTGCCTTTCTGTATGGATTCCCTTTACGTCGTTAACTTTTGTTGTCTCCCTTTGGGCTTCCAGCCGAACTCTCCCCATCGACAGAAGTGGAATGAGGTTATTTTATGTGTTGTGCTTTGGTGGTTTTGTTTCAGACTTCACTTGCTGAGGATGAGGGACGAAACAGACCAAGTTCGCCTCTGTGCGATCATACGGCTCTTTGACTTCATCTATCATGTGTATCTTACCGTCTTGGCATACGTCTGGGGTTGCTCAGGCGCAGTCGTGGAAGGCTTTGATAAGGGCTATACGATCTATCTGATGATAATCCACTTCTGGTTCTTCTGCACATGTTCTTACGGCTACACCATTAAATCCAAATGAGCCATGCACAGATGGAGGGCAGTTGTCTACCAATTGCAACTCGGTTTCCATCCCAAATTTCAAATAAGCCAATGGTCATTAATGATCATTAAGGCACTATAAACATCTATAAACCAATGCAAGTGGCTGGAGGCCGGAGTAGGTCAGTCTAGGGCTGCCAAGCTATCCAAGCTGCCCGGCCTTGGAATCCTTGGAGCGGTGTCAAGTTCTGCTGTTTATCAGCGGGGCATCCATCATTGAGAAGACCCATGACACAAACATCATCAAACATCATTGATTCCCCTGTTGTGAATTATTTTGAGTCCATTTAGATCCTGATGAATCAACCGTTCACCATTGGGACCATGATCCATGGGACTTGCATCATGCTTCAACTGCCACTGTCGGACATTGAGACCGAATGCTTATGCACTAAGACGTTCTCAAGGAACGCAAGTGCAGCGTCTAGTTGTTTCGTTTGGCTGTTGACCACACTGCGAGATTGGAAAATCGCTGCAGGGAGTGTTCATTTCTAGTCAGCTCCGAATTCAGAGCATACATTTGCATCTTGGTTTCTCTGGTTTGGCACCCCTCTGGTTGTTTTCCCGTAATTATCCTAGCCTGCCTATTTCGTGCCGTTTGCATCAGAAATCATGAAAACAGTTCCTTCATGCTTCTTCCCAATCCAATCCAAACACAACCTTTAAAAGTTTCCAGGGATGCTTTCAGATATATTTGTATTATTATTATTATTATATATATATATGTATACATGAACGATTATGTGGTTCGTTATACGGTATATAAATGTATGTAATGGTATGTAGATTAGATACCTATATATCATATTCTCCTCCTTTTGTTGAATCAAACCGCGGCTGTAGTGAGTTTCCTGTCAGGCTGCGCCCAGAGCATATGCTGCTGGTGCTGGTGGATACTGAGCAGTCCAGCTATTGGCAAGGAGGCGGCAGTGGCTGCAAGTCCATGATATGTTGGGAAAAAGTTGTCACGACACTCGGGAACATTGTGACCGTTTGCGCCAGAAGTGGGTGGAGTTTACGCCAGAGATTCCATAGAAGGCAACTAGACATTTCCAAGTGGTGGATGGCTACCACATCCTTGGTGATATCCACGTTTGTGTTTGGAAGATATCCCACACTGAAGACGTGTCTATAGTCTATACCCGAATGATACCTGTGTGATGTTCCATCTTATGTTGGCTGATTGCATATACGTATATATATATAAAGTATATACATATATATACAATATATATATATATATACACCATATATATATATATATATATACACATACACATACACATATATAGATATAGATTTCAGCGGTGAGACCAGTGACACCCGCATTCTGCATTCGTGTTTCAGCACATTCCTATGTATGACAGGTTGGTGATTTGTTATATATATATATTTATTGCATGTTTCCCCTTTTCTTGGGGATATAGTGATCCAGAATATTCAGATTAGGTTCTACCCATCTCACGTCCTTCTGCACAGGCCAGCCAGATGCCAGGTGCCGAGATGGGCTGTGGCAGTTGCGGTGTATAGGTTCCTTTCTGGGCAAGTTTTCATCCAAAAATGTTTTTTTTTTACCACGAAAACATACGAAAACAATGGGCTTGGGGGTCCCCCAGTTTAAGAAAACCACCATACTATGGAGCTTGGCTACAGCCTCGGAGATCACAGCTTCATGGTGAAAGACAATGGTTTGAAGCAAAAACAGATGTTCAATGAATCAACAAGGCTCTGGTTTTCTTCACAAAATGACTTTCTCCATGAAATGGTTGCGAGGAGGCAGGGCAAGAACTAGCAGAGGAACAGGAACAAACCAGTTTGGTATTCTTTACAAGTTCGCCCTGAAGAGGCAAAGGTCCAGATCAACGGGTGTTGAACTGTCTGGAATGTGAAGTATCAAGCCAATGACCCCATGCGCATTCGTCAATGATTGTTCCCATCATGCTCAGTGAATCTCCTGGCTTTGGGTGGCGAGGCCCTTGTTTTTTAGGATCTCACTGGATAAAGCCAATCATTTCCAAGCAATCCTCTTCGAAATGCTATCAAAAGGATGATTTGGGTATGGGTCAAAACTGTTGACGCCAAAAATGCATGGTCTCAGATCCTAAATCTGACAAAGGAATTGTGGCAATATTTTTATTCGTACCGATTTTCTGACCCCATACCATCTCAAAAAAATCGACTGGTCAAAAATCACTCTATTTTCATCATGCAGTAAATACCATCTGGTTCTTTAACAGTTCGCCATGGTATAGATGGAAAATTGCCCATTTCTAGATGGTTTACCTATTAATAATATTAATAGCATGGTGATTTTCCATGGCAAACTGTTAAACAACCAGATGGTAATTCCTAAGTGTGATCCTATTTATGCCCCTGTGATTCCCTGTGCATCTCGCTGCTCTCCTGGTTCTCCTGGCTCAGCGGCGGGCCACGGGGCAAGTATTGGACGAAGTGGTGGTCTAGTGCCTCACCGAAACGGACAGTGGGATATGATGGGATATGGCAGCCATTCTAGATATTACATGCCTATGTTTCTGTCGATGTTTGTATTGGCATGTAATGGCATGTATATAACATTGTATAACTAAGTACTTTTCTCGATCTTCTAGTACGGATTGTTTCTTTTGTAGACATAAACATAGAGAAAATTTGTTCTTTGAGGTTGACAAGACTGGGGCACGGAAAATGATGTCTACAAGAAACGATTGAAAGAAGTGTGGTGGCACAGTACTTATTTCTTTGCAGAAGAAGCTTGCAGTCTTTCAGGGCGGCCCTGGCCCAACCGATAGACTAGCCAAAGATATAGGCTAATCCCATGATCTCCAGTTGGACTAAGGCCTCGTAAAAAGGGCAGTCTCTGCCATTGTAGTTTTTGCAGCTCCAAAAACCAGATTCTGGTTGGTGCCGATTGCGACACTCCAATTGTTTCCAATGATATTCCCATCATATATATATATATTATTTCCATAGTCTATTAATATGATATTGTTCCCCATGATATTATATATTAATATGATATGATATCCAATTATTCTAATTCCAATTATATATTGGTTTCCGTGGTTTCCATATGATTTTCCAATCATACTTCCAGGAGATGGCTGGGGTGCCAGTGGGCCACAGCTGCGACGGAGGAATGACCCAGGCCGGAGTTTGCCAGATCTGTGGGCAAAATGACGACCATAAATTACTGTCTTGTAAAAACACACATGATGCCACTGCGATGGCTCCTTGAAGCAGATCAAATTTCGAATTGAATATTCAGACGTTCCAAGCTGACTGTAGAAGTCTCTGGCCATTACTTGTTTAACTGATGAAATGGAGTGCCAGTGAATGTTCAACAAGAGATGTAGAAAATGAATGAAAATGAAGCATGATTGTTAACCCAAAACGGATACACTGAACATGGTAATGGGGGAATCTGACACAAACAAGACGACCAATCCAGACACTTTCATACAGCCGGACTTTGGAGAGCCAGAGTAAACTGATGCGAATCTGCCCCCAGCTGCAGGGGGCTCGGCCCGCCGAGGAATTAGCCCAACTAAACTCTGGTCTCAAGTGTCTTGTTTGTTTCCTCTTTGTTTGGGCTGATGATCCAAGATGACTAACATGTTTCGGCGGTTGAAACCAACAAGCAACTTGAAAGGTGCTGTAGTTGTGATTCATTCAGTGGGTTTCCACAAAGTAAACGTGTGAATCTCTGATCCAGATGCAGAAATATCTTCTGGGAATGCTCCAGAATGGTTCACTAGGCATGCACGGTTTCAATTCACAGGAACAGAACTTGAAGATGGTTTGGAATCCCTTTTGACCCAGTTTTTGTATCATGGTGTCGCAAAACTGTCTCAGAGTCATGCCACTGGTTTCCTCGACAACAGCGTGCACATCCTGCGCATGGAATCCTGTGACATATTGGAAAATTCAATAGGGGATCGAGCAGCCATGAACTACCTATGGCATCCTATGGCCACCTGGGAACACCTTCCACAATATCAAGTGCTTAGCCACAATAGCCGGGTCCAGAGGGTATGGTTCACGTACCTTCATGCCGAATGCATTTACAGTGTTTTAACAAAGGTCCCTAGAGAGGCGAAATTTTCAAAAGGGATCAGTCTGTGCGAAATCCATGGCAACCTTTGAAGGACAATGGGAATTCGTGGGTCGGTAAAACTCTCATAGTCTTGTACTTGTACTTCATATTCATATAGGCCAACTCAATACATTGATTCCACATTTTACTTGGGTTGGTTGCAATTGATGTGTATAAACCCTGTCTACCCTGTATGGAAAGCCCATGAATCAAAGGCATCACGGCATGCCATTCGTCGCTTCCCAGGACGAGGTTTCAGATTCGCTGAGCGTGTCGCAGACTTTGGTGGAAGACATCAAAATTATCTGTCAGGAGGCCAGCGTCTCTTGGACTCAGGATGCGATGCTCCAAGGGGATGTAACTCCCATTGATGTGCCGGAAACATATACAAAATGAGCAACATCAAATCGGAAATCCATGTTTAATGTCAAACACACACACACACATCTATGCTATGTAACTACGGATTGCAGGGTACGTCAAAATGTTGGGGATCCATCGAAGTAGCCAGCCGCTGGTCCGTTTTCGTGAGACCATTTTCCGGTGAGAACCAATATCTGAAACTGGATCCGCATGTTTTGACATGCTTGGGTTTTTGAAGCTTGACTAGCCAAAGATATAGGCTAATCCCATGATCTCCAGTTGGACTAAGGCCTTGTAAAAAGGGCAGTCTCTGCCATTGTAGTTTTTGCAGCTCCAAAAACCAGATTCTGGTTGGTGCCGATTGCGACACTCCAATTGTTTCCAATGATATTCCCATCATATATATATTATTTCCATAGTCTATTAATATGATATTGTTCCCCATGATATTATATATTAATATGATATGATATCCAATTATTCTAATTCCAATTATATATTGGTTTCCGTGGTTTCCATATGATTTTCCAATCATACTTCCAGGAGATGGCTGGGGTGCCAGTGGGCCACAGCTGCGACGGAGGAATGACCCAGGCCGGAGTTTGCCAGATCTGTGGGCAAAATGACGACCATAAATTACTGTCTTGTAAAAACACACATGATGCCACTGCGATGGCTCCTTGAAGCAGATCAAATTTCGAATTGAATATTCAGACGTTCCAAGCTGACTGTAGAAGTCTCTGGCCATTCCTTGTTTCACTGATGAAATGGAGTGCCAGTGAATGTTCAACAAGAGATGTAGAAAATGAATGAAAATGAAGCATGATCGTTAACCCAAAACGGATACTCTGAACATGGTAATGGGGGAATCTCACACAAACAAGACGACCAATCCAGAAGAGCCGGAGTCAACTGATGCGAGTCCCCAGCTGCAGGGGGCTCGGCCCGCCGATTAGCCCAACTAAACTCTGGTCTCAAGTGTCTTGTTTGTTTTCTCTTTGTTTGGGCTGATGATCTAAGATGACTAACATGTTTCGGCGGTTGAAACCAACAAGCAACTTGAAAGGTGCTGTAGTTGTGATTCATTCAGTGGGTTTCCACAAAGTAAACGTGTGAATCTCTGATCCAGATGCAGAAATATCTTCTGGGAATGCTCCAGAATGGTTCACTAGGCATGCACGGTTTCAATTCACAGGAACAGAACTTGAAGATGGTTTGGAATCCCTTTTGACCCAGTTTTTGTATCATGGTGTCGCAAAACTGTCTCAGAGTCATGCCACTGGTTTCCTCGACAACAGCGTGCACATCCTGCGCATGGAATCCTGTGACATATTGGAAAATTCAATAGTCTCTGGATCGAGCAGCGATGAACTACCTATGGCCACCTTGGAACACCTTCATATCACAAGTGCTTAGCCACGATTGAATAGCCGTGGAGGTCCAGAGGGTATGGTTCACGTACCTTCATGCCGAATGCATTTACAGTGTTTTAACAAAGGTCCCTAGAGAGGCGAAATTTTCAAAAGGGATCAGTCTGTGCGAAATCCATGGCAACCTTTGAAGGACAATGGGAATTCATGGGTCGGTAAAACTCTCATAGTCTTGTACTTGTACTTCATATTCATATAGGCCAACTCAATACATTGATTCCACATTTTACTTGGGTTGGTTGCAATTGATGTGTATCAACCCTGTCTACCCTGTATGGAAAGCCCATGAATCAAAGGCATCACGGCATGCCATTCGTCGCTTCCCAGGACGAGGTTTCAGATTCGCTGAGCGTGTCGCAGACTTTGGTGGAAGACATCAAAATTATCTGTCAGGAGGCCAGCGTCTCTTGGACTCAGGATGCGAAGCTCCAAGGGGATGTAACTCCCATTGATGTGCCAGAAACATATGCAAAATCAGCAACATCAAATCGGAAATCCATGTTTAATTATGTTTAATTATGTTTAATTAATGTCAAACACACACATCTATGCTATCTAGCTGAATCTAGCTACGGACTGCAGGGTACGTCAAAATGTTGATCCATCGAAGTAGCTCTGCCCATGCCGTGTGAGGTGATTGCAGTTGTCCACCTCGTGTCCGCCGTGAGGAGGTGATCGCAGGGCCAGACCAAAAACACCATAGGTTCACATTGGATTTTTTCACAACTTAGTCATGGTGAAAGCATAAACTCATAAACATACACATCATATCACATCATACACTGCACCTTCTCTGGTGAGTGAACTCTTTGAGTTATGGCTCCTGCATGATAGTTGCTTAGCAGGATTTAGATTTGGGCCATGTGGGACTGCAATGTGGTACACCCTACTTAGCTAATCTGGTTTTCCTAGGCTAACCCAATGGGTTTTTGATGATATCTATAGATTCTATAGGACATATAATAGGACCAAGGCGGGATGGGTTTACCAAGCAACTTCCGAGTGCCGCCACATTGTGACCATTTGTCCGTGGCTAGAGCTGTGGGTAGCAGCACTGACAGCCTTGGAGACCAGATGCCATCTCCAGTGCGATGGTAATTTTTATGGGAAGTATCATTTGCGACGACCAACATGGACTGACTTTGGGACGGCCAACAAGACTGCGCTTGGAGATGCGCATGACTTTATGTCTCCGGTTCTTTTAACTGTCATTGCTTTGCAGCTGACCCACGGTAGTGATATTCGGTGGTCCACGACAGTTGGTTCGGGTCCAGGCTTGCACGAATTATAGCTGTAGCGGCTGCATGTTAGCTATTAGGCTTCCTCGGCGAAGCTGCCTCAAATAAGTTCGGAACCGCCCTGCAGCACATGGTTCTAGTGCAGTGACCATCTATGCTAAGGGTGCACTTCACTTTGACTTCTTCATTTGCATCTAGCTAGCATGCTTCCGTTTGCGTGTAAAAAGATTGTATAGAGACTCGCGAAAACACAGAGTGACAGAAATGAGAAGCTGCTACAAAAGTGGCATCCCTCCAATTCGACAGCCCAGGGGTTTAGCAAAATCCGTGGTTCCCGCTCCATCCCCGGTGAACTCCCGGTATTCTTCCGGTGGGTGAACTCCCGGTATTCTTCCGGTGGCAAAGGAGTGTGAAACACTCAATTTTATCGTTTGGCATGACAGTGTGCCGAGACTCAAGAACCCCTATGTCGTGATGGAGAAAAATTGTTGTCTGAGCCGATCTCTAGCCGTGGAGTGTGTAGGAAGGTGGCGACAACTTGTCGGTCCCACTCGATTTCAGACCCCAACAATTATCGTATTTATTTGCGGCAGAAACTCTTCAATGACCAACTCAATTTGCGACATTTTGCGGCCAACTGCACACATCCCTCAAGGGCATGGAAAATCAATGAGAATCGCCTGAAGAATGGCATTGATGCTAACTAAACGGATGGTCAATTTACTGGGATCCCATTTGGTGCAAAATCAAACTCCCATTTCACTGGTGCAGAAATCGCACCAAAGCCTGCTGTCAGCCCACGACCACAACTATTGGTCATATCAGGGTCATATCATATCCAAGTAGTACAAATGTGGACGCCTTTTGGAGATCCTTTTGGTGTTTCCAACAAAGATCTCTTTGCCCAGACCATCTCAAGTGTCCTTTTGGGTGCCGACAGGTCGCTTCCCTTCTATGATGTCAACTACACAATGAGGCATCATCCGAACTGGAATTCCAACTTTAGTACTCAAAGATTTGTTTGTGAAACCCAGCAAAACCCCAGATTTGTGCAGCTCGATTGGTTGAGTCATAAGCTAGTGGCAATGACACCTGATGAGTTCAGAAAAAATGTCTTTTGATCTCAGTCCTTTCCACTTGCTCCAGCTTCCAATAGGCATCCCATGATACACGATATATATATATATATACATATACATTCCTTGTGGCATCCCAAGCCAAGACTGATAGCTAGCAGGACCAGTTACAAGCGTTTTTGGGGATCTGTATTTCTGTTTGCTATTCACAAAGAGTTGGGGGTGCCTGGAAAAGCATCACTTCGCTGTCTATTTCAGGGTAGGACGCCACCACTGTTTTTTGGGATATCCCCTGCGATTGAACACATGATATGTTCTCGTTCGAGGACTCACTAGATCGTATCCAGTGATTTCGCATTCAATACAAACAGCATGCATTAATAAGAATGATCATAGTAATAATAATGATAGTAACAATATTGATGTTTTGCTATAATGTACATATCGTACATACAACCAATTTCCAGCAATTTTTCACTACTCACTAAATCGATGACTCCTTTGTTGAGTATGTTCATGAAACTGAACACCACAGGCCCTTGGAGAGCACCTGGAAGAATTGGAAGCAATGGCCGGAAAGCTTAGTCTTCAGAGAACATGGCTCTGTCTCAATATAGGGGATACCCAAAATGGCAACTTTCATGGGGAAGAGCATGATAACTCCGATAACTCCCCCAAATCTGGTGTGCCCTATGTTCCAGACACATCAGGAACCCTCCCGGATGTTACAGGGTGCCAGGACCATCCATACGACACGCCCTGAGGCAACTCTCCAGCGATGCCGTCAGCATCTCAATAGGGGCGGAACAGGGCGGGGGCGAACAAGGTCCTTGACAGGAAGTTGGTGGAACCTCCAAACGCTGGAACAAATCATGAATGATTTTGTACACCCAATAACAAACTACCATCATCTTTTTCTGGAAATATTGGAAATGGGTTGTATAACCCATCCCCCAAAGGGTGGTTTACTATTGGGTTTACCACATTGGGCCCTCTCATTTTGGGAGAACCATTTGGTCATTTGGTCGCCACATGTGGATGGGAGGATTCAACGTTGACTTTGCTATCTCTTTGTGGGAGGATTCCATATGGACTTTGAAAGTCCTGGCAGTGGGGGCTGAGTGATATCGCTATAACGCATAATATGGATGCACATATGGCATATGGTTAATGGATGGTTATTCCCCGAAATATAATATATATATACGTATACATAATATAATATAATATAATATAATATAATATAATATACATACATATAATATATCCATTGGGGGAATATGTATATATATATATATATGAAACGCCATCATCCCAGTGGACACAGTCCCCGAGGTGGACCCGTTCAAGTCGACCACCTCCTTGGACGAACGTGTCGCGGAGGCAGGATCCACCATGACTTTTTCACTTCGGCTGCAAACATGTGATGCTTAGCGAAGTGCCCAGATTCTCCACCAGATATATTTTGGTGACTTTTTGCTTGATAATTCGCATGGTGTGCCGAAGAAATGGTACCGGTTGCCTGAATAATTTTTGAATCATTGATGTTATTGGATAAAACACATTCATCCTCAACTTTGAGAAGCCGTCATTTTCCTAGATCTGCATGGAGTAGCTGACAGAATGATGCAGGTGGATGGTAAGGCTTCAGTGGATTAAGGTCTCTAAATATTCCTAGATTATATGTCCAGTGTATATATATATGTAATTACATGTAATTACTGTATATGTACACATATATAGTACACAATGGATTCCGATCGGGGTCCATGGGGCTTACCCTTCACAGTGTGGAAGATCATCTGCAGCTGTGCACCCTTTCCGCAGCTCTCCTTCGAAGGTGAAATCGCAGTTTTCTTTGACGGTGCCCAGTGTCATCGCAGGCGCTTGAAGGGGATCTTCACGATCAGTTTGGACCGACATTTGAACATTTGGGTGCAGGTAAAAAATTGAGCCCCCTTCAATCCATTTTTTTGGGATGATATCAGCTTGTATCTCCATATTCGCCCAAACCCATATTAAAACCCCCAATGTTCTGAGTAGATTCTGGGTAAATTACGCGACGGTAGAGAACCATCCCGAAATGATACATTTCAGCTTGATGAATTACTATTGTCCCATTAAAATCTCCATTCTGGTCGGTCAAATCCCGATTTGAGAACCCATTTAATGATGGTTAGTCTGTGATTACCTCCCATTCTGGTGTTTTTTCTGCTTTTTCCAGATCCATGGAGCTTTTATGGGAAAGGGTTTTAGTTCCCTGCCGATCAGCGTGAGGCTTACCAGAAAACCTGACCCAAGCAGCCGCGCCCGTGAAGGGCTCGGGTCAGCTGGGAGAGTTGTGGGGTGCGGGGCCTCAAAGTGAGCAGACCAAGCCACCGAGTGGTTAACTTATACACAATAATGTAGGTAAAACCATGCCATAAACCAGCCATTTGGGAGTGGTGTATACCACCTATAAAAATGGTGATGACTGGGGGGATGGTTTTGATGGGGACCCCTGGTTGTGAACCTCCAAAAATCTCGGATACCTATCAACCAACCATTCGAGGATCACCCAATCGAAACTGGTTAGTGAACGGTGTGTGGTTTAGTTTCCCCAGTTATAAATTTACCTGCGGGACGACCTCCAAGTAGTTTGCCATGTCAGGGAAAGCCTCCAAACATGGTGGACACGGAGATTCTGTCTTGTGAAACAGTGACATTTTTTGTCTAAACAGACTTAAAATAGATGGGATATATACATACATACATACCATACCAATCCATACCAATCCATACCAATCCATACCATACCATACCATACCATACCATACCATACCATACATGCATACATGCATACATGCATGCATGCATATATACATAGATACATAGATACAAAGATACATCGATACATACTTACATAGATACATAGATACACACATAGATACATAGGATACACACATAGATACATAGGGTACATAGACACATAGATACATAGATACATGGATACATAGATACATGGATACATAGATACATAGATACATAGATACATGCATACATAGATAGATAGATAGATAGACAGATAGATAGATACATAGATACATAGATACATTGATACATTAGATAGATAAATAGATAGATAAATGGATAGATAGATAGATAGATAGATAGACAGATACATACATAAATACATAGATACATAGATATATCGATACATAGATATATCGATACATAGATACACACATACATAGATACACAGATACATAGATACACAGATACATAGATACACAGGTACATAGATACATAGATATATAGATACAACGATAGATACATAGATATATAGATAGATAGATACATAGATACATACATACATAGACAGACAGATAGATAGATAGATAGATACTGTAGATACTGTAGATAGATAGATAGATACATACATACATAGATACACAGATACATAGATACATAGATACATAGATACGTAGCTACATAGATACATAGATAGATAGATAGGGAGATAAATAGATAGATACATACGTACGTACGTACGCACGTACGGACGCACGTACATACATACATACATACATACATACATACATACATACATACATACACACACATATATCATGATGGTCTACGCTATTTGCTACTTTCACCTTCATTTGGGATGATGATCTTATTCGGGATGCTGATACCAACTAGCGCGCAGGCTACAGGTGACTTTCGGCTTTGAAATAGAAGATGTGCTGTCATTGTTTCTGAGATCAATCTACCTTGTTTATTCATTGTTGGATCCAATTTGTTGTAACTTAGATCTCCATTTTTTGTTTCATCCCTCTTGTTACAGCCTTCTCGGGTGGACCTTGTTGAGGTGATCTTCCCAAACGAATGGAGTTGAAGGCCTTCGCGTCTCTTGGCGCTGTGGTTGCCTTGGAGTCGGATGGATTGGCCATTAGGATCCTGGGAGGTCCCCAGGTGCTGAGAGGTGGGTTTGAGCCTGTGGTAGACAAACATGTTGAATGAGAAGTCTTCCTGTCATGAGAAGATCCTATTTTTTCATTGCCGTCACTAGAGGGTATCCCCGTTGCTGATGGGGCTATATCGTGCACTATGGGACCCTATGTATGTCTTGCTATATGATGTACTCTCAGATGACCTCACACTTTCGGATTATTCAGTTCTGCAGTCATACCCAGTGAGAGTGAAAGTATATAAGGAGATGGCACCATTATAAATCATGTACATAGATGCCCCTTTTGCCACTGGTTGGCTCGTGAAAAAAGAACACTTGTTCAACAAACAATTGGGCACATGATCCCAAAACAGTTCCACTTCTGGAAAATCATCCCAATTTCCTTAGTCATCCAGGGGGAAAGCCTAAAAATCAGTGAACATCATCCCAAAAAGTCATCTTGGAAAAAACAAGAAATCAGGGTCAACCTCCCCTTTCTTCCTTGAATATTTGGGACATCGGGTCATGGGGTTTCCACCGATGACCTGATGCAGTTCGTCACCGAGGAACCTGGATTTGGAGGGTGCTGAAAAGCGAGATCTGGATCTGTGGCACCGCGAGAACTGGAGCGCCGAACAGTGGTTGAGCAGCAACATTCAATTGGGATAATAGATGATAGAACTGGATGTATGTGAGTGACACATACTGTATATATATATTATACATGATACATATATATATATTATACATGATACATATATATATATATTATACATGATACATGTATAGATTATATAATATATATATTATACATGATACATGTATAGATTATATAATATATATATATACATGTATGGATTATATAATATAATATATATACATGTATAGATTATAACAAATATATATATATATATATATACATGTATTGATAATATAATATATATATATACATGTATTGATTATACATATAATATTTTTATATGTATAAATTATATATATATATATATATTTGACATACAAAGAAGTGGATCGTTGTAAGTGGATGTCTCATCTTTAGGAACTGGATGTCTAAAAAAGTGACACCAATGGACAGCAGCATGGCGTCAGGATGCTGCGCCACCCACGCGTCACGGCGCGCCTGACGCTGCGGCGGCCACAGAGTGCCAAGGCCGGAAGGGCCAAGCCAGGGATGGGGAGGGGTAACCGTTGGTAAACCGTTGGAGTTTGCTATTGAAAATGGCCATAGTCATAGAAATAGTCAATTTACCATTAAACATGGTGATTTTCAATAGTTGTGAATGGAGGATAGTTAAGCGACCCCTTTCCGTTTTTTTGGGATGTAGATATTCTATGATCTTCTCCATTATATAGGTGTCGCCATCAATATCAACCAAAAAGGCGACCACAGATATTTGGGGATGTAGATGTCAATCAACCAACATGTGTCGCCATGAAGAATCAGGTAGAACTACCAACTTGTATGTGAATGCTTTCATACCCCAATGACCAGCCATTTCTGGGTGGCAAACCATTTTTGAGCCAAGATGCTGTCATAGCTGCAGGGCTACAGTGCCAAGAATGTGGTGGATGCTGAGGCTGCCGTGGGGGAATGCTTTTGGGCTACCAGGAACATAGAGCCTTGTACGACTACTGTTTCCGTACTGATCTGTGTTTTTTCCCCACCTGCCAGGTGAGGGTTGTTAGATTTTATGTCAGTTGCCTCCTCCTGCCTCGTCCTCCTCCTCCTCCTCTCCTCCTCGTCCTCCTCGTCCTCCTTGTCATCCTTGTCGTCCTTGTCGTCCTCGTCGTCCTCGTCGTCCTCGTCGTCCTCGTCGTCCTCGTCCAACTGCGACCCGCGATCCACAGTGTTCTCTGCCGGACCTCAACCACGACCATCCACGCCCAGTGTTCCCTGCCGGACCTCAACCACGACCATCCACGCCCAGTGTTCCCTGCCGGACCTCAACCACAACCATCCACGCCCAGTGTTCCCTGCCGGACCTCAACCGCGAGTATCCACGCCAAGTGTTCCCTGCCGGACCTCATGTAGGAAGATATGGGACAAAGAATGTGCAGAAGAAAGTTAGAAAGAATGTCAGAAAGAATGTCAGAAGATATGCCAGAAGATATGCCAGAAGATATGCCAGATAGAATGCCAGATAGATATGCCAGAAGATATGCCAGATAGAATGCCAGAAGATATTGCCAGATAGAATGCCAGAAAATATGCCAGAAGATATGCCAGATAGAATGCCAGATAGAATGCCAGAAGATTTGCCAGATAGAATGCCAGAAAATATGCCAGAAGATATGCCAGATAGATATGCCAGAAGATATGCCAGAAGATATGCCAGAAGATATGTCAGAATATATGCCAGAAGATATGTCAGATAGAATGCCAGAAGATATGTCCAGAAGATATATGCCAGAAGATATGCCAGAAGATATGCCAGATAGAATGCCAGATTGAATGCCAGAAGATATGTCAGATAGAATGCCAGAAGATATGCCAGATAGAATGCCAGAAGATTTGCCAGATAGAATGCCAGAAGATATGCCAGATCATATGCCAGAAGATATGCCAGATAGAATGCCAAATAGAATGTCAGAAGATATGTCAGATAGAATGCCAGAAGATTTGCCAGTAAGAAAATGTAAAAATGTCATGGTGGGGATCACACGAAGTAAAGTAATTATTTTTTTTTCGGTCGAATTTATGATCGATGCATCAGTAAGTTTCCACGGCTGGCAAAGCTGGCGTTCTCATGACACTGTCGCTGCATCCGCCCAGATTGGACTGCGCATACTGAACGAGATGGGAACCCCAGAAACCAGGCAGGTGTTAGTCAAAATTTATGTATTCCATTGTATTCCCAAAATTGGTGAGTTGTCATGTTCTCAATTTGTTCACATCAATTTTCTGAAGACTGACCCAAATTTGTGGTTCGCTGGATCTTCAAGTTGACCCATAAGCGAGCAACAGCAGCAACAGCTTGGAATTATACTAATTTGGATGTTGCGGGCAGTTGCTTCTCCTTCGACTGACTCATGAAAAACATGAAATGGAAGATTGCTATAGGCTAGAGTGCCAGGACGCAGCGACTTTCTGGCACTCGTCCTGCTTCTGTTGTGAAATCGCTTCTCTGAGCCGCGAAGTGACCGGTTCCGAATGGTTCCAAGGTTGATGTCGGCTGGTTTGGCGAATCTGACAGACCTCGGCACCACCTGGAAGATCGAGACAGGCCGATGGTGCGGCGTGGCTGGGCAGTTCCTCCAAAGGATTTTTGTTTGAACAGGCCACTGGTGACACTCGGGTTTTGAACATGGCAATATATGGCAATGGAACACCCCCAATAAATGGAGGTTTAAAGCTGGGAAAATTGTCTATAAATGATTTGTAAACGAGCGATTTTCCATTTCCACGTTTGATTACCGGAGGGTAAGTTAAAAGGCTGCCGAACCAGTATCAGTCATAGCCCCAGCAATGGAGAAGTATCACATAGTGTCACTGCATGAATGGCTGCCAGGTAACAGTCAAAGCTTTACGGTGCTGCTAAGCCACAGGTCTCAGTTGGATGTGCATAGTGCAACAGACCGAAAGCACTTTGCTGGCCGCAGATCGTCCTGAGCACGCTAAACCATCAATCTCACTTTGCAGTTTCCATTCTCTTTCGTGAACAGCCTTTTGTTGTGACAACTGAGGTAGCTTTGCAGTAAATGCCAAAGAGCATTTCGCGCAAGTGTGGAAACTCAACCATATCTTATGCTTTGTGGTTGAGCACATTGGCGTGTCAGTTGTGAGGTGAAATGTATGCCCGTCATCTGACTGCTAATGGATATTACGGGCCAGACAGTGAAGATGTAAGTTTCAGACGTAGGCCGGAACCCTGCCAACCATTTCCCGCAATAATGAACACCTGCCAGAAACCCTAGGTTTGGTAGGACTGTTTATTTTGGGATTGGGGTTCCCATAAGGGGGAGGGGTATATGGAGGGCTTATGGTTAGGTGGGCGGGGTTCTCAGGGATTCATCACACTCCGCAGGTTTTGATGGAACTGATGCAGGAGGATGAAAAGGCAGCTGGGCCAATGGACTGGTGATTGGGATGCTTAGGGGACATATCCCCAGGGTGAAGACAGGGTCTTGACCCAATCTTTCAAGGAAACATAAAGAGGTGCATTAAAGGTCAAAAGTGAAACAACCGGCATGAAATCCATGTTCATGGTGCTTACGGGTTGGAACTCAGAAGCTATTGATGTGCATCAGAGTGGTAATCTTTGGACCTCCAACAAAAAAAATGGTTCACAACCAACAAACATGACCCAAGAAACATGAAATCCCTCGAACCCCTTCAGATTTTGCATGAGTTTGACCCATCCCTACATCTGTAAGCCCCATGTTGCCCCACCTTGTGCCATCTTCCAGGCTGCTGCCGCGGAGCGGCGCCTGGTTCGCTTGCGAAGGGAATTGAAGATGGAGTTGGAAGATCAGAGTGAGGTGAGGGATGGCGACACATGGACCCAATTCTGATGCTGTGCCATGTAAAAACATGAGCCTGCGGAACCAAGAATGCGGACGACACCAAGCAACCCATCATGTGGCATGCTATACTGTACATGGGTATAATATGGTATAATAACAATGACAGGACACTATTTTTGAATGACTTGTAGAATCACTCTCTATCGGAAGCACGCCACTGGCGGTACTGCTTCCATGATCCTGGCCTGGTTTCTCCAGGCCATCCTTAGCGTGGCGGTGCGTGAGCGCAACGTCTTGCTTATGCGGGGCAACCCATCAGCCAGAGATTTTGGTTGTCACCTGTCATGGCAGGATGGAAGCGGTTGGCAAGGGACAATGCGAGAATTATCGGATTGTGGCTCCGGATGGATGTTCCGAGTCACATTGCATGGGTTTCGAGCCTTCCGGAATCAGGGACGGTCACCAAATCTTCATTCGAACTGATCTTGATGGGAAACTCAAAGGGCTCAGCTCTCCTCAAGAGATGCGTATGTCGGAATCTCTCGGCTCGGCTTAGTCCCCAGCTCAGTGCCATGGGCCCCTTGAGGCCAGAGACCTTTGCGAGACATGAGCTCTTGAGTGCTTTGGTGGAAGGCGCAGCAGCTGCACTGATTTTTTTTTGGATCCTTTGAATCCCTGAAAGCGGCACTGTCTGCCGCAATCTTTTGGGGATGGGGAAAGATCTACATAATCTACATATACAAAACTATTTTGGGAGGTCTTCACACTTTCAACAATTGCAGACAGGCTGTAAGGGCAAGTGAGACTTTAGAGAAGACCTGTAAAGCCACAGATTGCATAATCAGCTTATGCTCTTTATTGATATGGGGTACTGTAGGTTTTATTCTTAAACCACCAAGGGTAAGTACAGCCTTGGCAGCTTTTTGACTGCTCTGATGATCGTCTCAGTTCGCATCTGGCTAGCCATGGGACTTGGGCAGATCATCAGCATGGACCAAAATCATCCCAGCAACTAATCATACCATAGTTGCCATAGTTGCTGGGATTCTTATGGATGAAGGGCCATAAATCCCCAGCTGTTTGGCGAAAATTCACCGGTCCCCGGCCGGTCCCCGATCCCGGCAAGCCCGGTGCGGTGCGGCACCAGGAGCCGCCGAGACGACACAGGAAGCGCTGGACGTCTTGGAAGCACGTCGCTTGGGGAAACTGTCGATGACCGGCCTAGCGAGGATGCCAAGAGCCACAAGGGGATGGCAATGACTTGAAGGCCTGCTCGTAAATGGTTCTAATTCCACACAGGCAACATATAATCCCTTCCTCCTAATACTAAACGTCCCCCTAATACTAAAAACAGGCATCCATCTCCAATTTCCGAAAATTTCAGTTTGGCCAATTTGACTTTTAATTGATCCCCTTTAAAAAACAATTTAAAAATCAACCTACCATTTGTGGGTTCTCCCCCCTAATACTAAAAACTAGTTCACCCCGGGGTGTTTAGTATTAGGGGGGCCTAGTCCCAATCCCTCACTCCAAGCTGCCTAGCTACTCTAGCAATTAGGGGTAAGCTTCTAACTGCCATTTTTGGCAATATTTTAATTGCGCTATATAAGGAAATTTAATTGATTTTGAGATCGGAAAAAATAGTTTTTAGTATTAAGGGTTTTAATTTAGTATTAGGGGTAAGCTTCGAACTGCCATTTTTGGCAATATTTTAATTGCGTTATATAAGGAAATTTAATTGATTTTGAGATCGGAAAAAATAGTTTTTAGTATTAAGGGTTTTAATTTAGTATTAGGGGTAAGCTTCGAACTGCCATTTTTGGCAATATTTTAATTGCGTTATATAAAGAAATTTAATTGATTTTGAGATCGGAAAAAATAGTTTTTAGTATTAAGGGTTTTAATTTAGTATTAGGGGTAAGCTTCGAACTGCCATTTTTGGCAATATTTTAATTGCGTTATATAAGGAAATTTAATTAATTAATTAACATGACTTCGATTTGGTTCCCTAATAATAAATACCCCCCTAATACTAAAAACTACCTGCCGTGTTTTGTATTAGGGGGGGGGGTTTAGTATTAGGAGGAAGGGATTATAATAATTATAATGTAGGTAATAGGAGTATGATGGAGTATGTGGGTTATATATATATATATGGGTTATATATGGGTATCATACAGGTATAGATAAGTAATATGAAGTGTCTTAGAGCTTTTTGTGTGTATTTTGACTATGTGATGAGTGTGGTGCGGGAGAAAGAGTAACAGCAGCAGCAGCAGCAGCAGTAGGAACAAGAAGAAGATTTACTGATGCTTCTGTTGAAGCTGCCAATTGTTCTTCCCTAGCCTCTGCATGCGTTTTGTCTTGATTCAAACTGAGTTCGGCAGATAGACTTGGTAGGATGACAAATCCACGTGATGTTAACTCGGATTCAAACAATTTCAGTTGATGGTACTTGCCCCAGTTGCTGACCATCAAGGTCATGGGCAGTTGCTCCTTGCAGCTGGCAGAAGAGTTGCAGGTGGATGAATTGCAGGGCCGTAACTAAGCGCTTTGCATGGATGACTGGTTTGCAGATGGGGACTCAACCGGATGTATAACTTAATCCCTTCATATCCACAATTGTCTATCTATCTATAATTATCTATCTATAATTATCTATCTATCTATATCTCTCTATATATATACATGTATATGTGTCATGCAGGCATGAAGGGATGATACGAACAGATTCCTGTGTAGCTGGTCAGTAGCTTCAGAGTCTTCAGAGATCTAAAATTTGTGGAGCTCATCGAGTTTCCAAATTCGCGTCCAATCGATGCGACAGGACAAGATGCTGACTCAGCTTGGCGTTGGCGGTGGCAAGGCGGGTGGAGCTCGCTGAACTTAATAGCTTTGCAATGAAAGATAGGGTGTTTGTAGAGGACTGGCCCTGGAAAAATGATTCTGTTTGTTAAAATCTAGAAACCTTCTTCAACATTAATGTACCCTTTATGTTTTTGTGAGATTCCCTGAGTCAGCACTTTGGAGGTTGACTTGATCGATGCAAACAGCAGCGAACGGGTTCGGAGACCTGGAATCATGGTCTGGGTACAACCACCGTACCAGTGGACCCACAACCTCGATCTTTCTAGTATCTCTAAAGCGATCCATTTTTGGTGGCGGTTCATGATGTTGAGCCATAGCCATTTATATATATATATAATTATATATATAATTATATATATATATATATTAGATATATATATACAATATAGTTATATAAATATAAATATATATATAGATTTCAGTGAGTTTTTTATTGTCTGGCTATGCCATGGATCCATTGAGACACGTCACATGGCCTTGCCCAGCTGAGGTTGACCGGGTGGTGCGCTACTCACATCCCGTGGAGCTAAGGGGCAGGCGACGGGACGATGATCCAAAACACAAACTTCTTTTAGATCCAAATCACAGATCTTGTGCCAAGATGTTGGACTTTGATTTAGCATTTGATCTTTTTGGATCTTAAGGAGTGTAGATGCCACAAGACCCTTCCTGACATGCGCCCTGCGGAGAATTCATGATGCGTTCAGACACTTGTGGCACCCACCAGGAATCCTCGAAATGATAGTTCCCATGCCATGTTGATGTCTGGCACCCGGGCGCGGACCACTTGCGGACCACTTGCAGTGCAGCGGATGACCATGGATGACCCGAATTTTTATGCAGGAAAAGCACCGAATTTGATGGGTAATCACCACTTTCCCTATATAATCTATATAGTGAAGTTATCTAAAATTGCAGGGTATGGCTGAAAATTATCAGTCCCGAGGGTGGACGGTTTAGTCCTAAAGATGACCAATCAATTTGTGTGTCCATTGCTGTGCAATTTTTCGGCCATAGCCAAATCACTTCCCGAGCGTTCTTGATGTCGTGTGTGTATTTTGTCAGTTGAAGGGAGCACCCTTGCCATCGTTTGGAATCAAATCTCATCATCGTCCTGGTTCAGTGATTTTCAATGATCAGAGATTGATAGTTTGTCGCAGATCGAGCCTTTTCAGTGTGTGCCAATAGACTATCAGATAATATCAGATACACATTTCACAATCGGCCCCGACACCTTGAATTAAGTTCCGCCCAAGTGCTACCACTTTCAGTGGGTCAAGGGTGGAAGATCTACCAGAAGACCATGTATTTTGTATTATTTTCTTGGTTGGTACAAAATACAAAAATCCAGGACATCTATCATCATTTATCCCACAAAATGCTGTATTTAGCCCACCATGTATTTATCCCATTTATGCAGGACATTTTTCGCCACCAAACTTCGCCATCCCACGGGTAAGTTTAGGACCATCATGGTGGGCCCCAGCAGCATCAAGCGGCGGGTCCTGTTGGGTCTCATCTCGGAGGTGCGTTGATCCACCGTTGATCCACCGTTGATCCCCGTAGGAAAACAATGGTAAAAAGGGGATTCTGGGGCACATATGTTTGATGATGTGTGTATGTTGGTTGTTATGTTTTATGTTGTTTTTTAATGCTTAATCCTTGTTTTCGATGTTTTTTGTGTTTTTGTCGGGATTCTGAAGAGACATTGATGTGAACAGTTCACTGCCCAAATATTGTTCGAATGAGGCTGATTTCTCTGCCATCCGCATCTTTGTCCGGGTTTCTGTTTCAGTTCCTTGGGAAATGGGATCCCATAAAACTGCTCTTCCACTGATTCCACTGTGAATCTATTTGCCGTTCGCGAAACAGTGGAGTTCAACAATTTGGCTTCAGCAATCTTGCAGCTTCGCAGCTTCTCTGAATGATCTGAAACACTCCAGTCGATGATGGTTGTTTTCCACGCGAAATATCCGCAAATGTTGGCATTTGTTGGATCAATCTCAGTATTGGTGAACTCCAAATTTTTCACGGCGACCAGGTGCTGAATGAGGTGGCTTTCAAGGTCTTACGGACCGAGCTGCAGCTGGGCTATGTGGCCAGGGGAACCCAGAGATGCAGTGGGTTGATCAGCAGTGATCATTGGAGATAAGTGAACTATAGTAAACTGCAACATGCAGATATGATGAGATATGCTAAAGTTGCTAAAGTGAGATCCTTCACAAGATTGGGAAGCGAGATCCTGAACTATCCTGAACAGGCTCGAAGATTTTTTACCGGTTTTCCATGGACAGTGACTCAGTGTGCCGGAGCTAAAACAAGGCAGGAGGCTCCGTCTCGGCCATCTCCAACATCCTCACCGTGTCCTGCTTCGCTGGGGCACCTGATGGATTGGTCCCGGAGTTCCCGAAGCAGTCGTCTTATGAATTAGTATATTTAATACCAACAATTATCAATAAGTATAACATATCCATTATTCATTAGTATTAATAAGGCTAATTTAACATAATTCAATAATTCAAGACCAAGTATCTAATAATACTATTTAATACTACATGATTCAATCATTATTCTGAGTGATCTTCCTCACGCGGGCTCACCAATTGTTTTGCGGATGCGATGACTCTTGGGATTTGATGAAATCATGGGGACTCCTGCGGCTATTTGGGTGCACGGGCTTGTTCAGTGTTTCCCGCATGTAGTGAAAACTACAACTCCCGCCGTTCCCGATCTTGATGCTCAAGCAGCCATAGCCTGCAGTAGTAGGCTCTGAGTTGACTGAGCTTTGAACTAGCCACGCATCAAAGCAGACTCCCTTTGAGGTGACACCAGCACCACCCCCCCTAGTAAGGAACCTGTGGCGTTGAATGATGTTGTACGTTATCCGAGCTGACCCCAACCATTCCCTAACCATTGGTTTCCTCGAAATTCTGCCCAAGGGACGAAGAGTCGGCCTGTAAACTCCTGGGTTGGTCTTGGGGCACATGCCATGGCCTCGGCCATGGCCTCGGCCATCACAACCACGCAGCCACACAGATCTACACAGATCCACACAGATCCACACGGTGGCACCCTTTGGTTACCTGCTTCCAATCGACTGATGGATGTTGCGGATGTTGCAGAATGTGGCATTTGCACGGGCAACCTGGAGGACGGCGCGTTGCTTTGAGAGGGAAAGGTGCTCAAAAAGAATGAACCCCAACGCAAGTTGTTTGAAGATGTTTGAAGCAAGGATTTTTGAGAACTGCCAATAGTCAACAAATATTCTTTTGGGTTATGTCATATCTCTGTTTTTGACTACTTCATCAGTCTTTCTTTCCTTGGATTAAGCGTGTACCGTATATCTAAGCTTTGCCTTTTGTTTCCAAGTGGACCCATTTTGCAGGAGCTTGGAGGGGCCATTGAGCTGCCATGTAGCTGCACGGTGCCCTATTGCCACCCAGCTGCAGGGGCTGGGCAGTGGGTTTCTGTGGGCGTGGGGCGTCGGTTTGAAGGACTGTCCTGCTTTGGGTCAAGAACACAAAGGAGGGGCAAGCCGGAAGAAGCGGGAGCAACGGCGTGAAACCAATATTCAATATCAGTTGTTAAGCATTTGCAGCATACTTGGCTGCACATGTCAGCTCTCCATACTTCTTTACTTCGCCATTCAGCCCACTTCAGCTCTTGCGCCCATTTCATCTGCAGAAGGTTGGACCCAACCATCCAACGATCCAGGGCCCCTCTGCCAAGGCCAGCAATGCTGGGATCGCACCCTGGCAGCCAGCCTCAGTAAGGTGGGCCTCCCACGCTGTCCCAGTTGTCGCATGGTGATCCGCCCGGCCGCTTGGCGCGCTGTGGGTGGCCGGGGTATGGATGGTATGGGGGTAGCAGCATATGGGGATGGCCACAGGATAGGGGATAAAAGATGATAAAAGTGAAGAACTCCTAAGGTTTTTGGAGATATCTGATGGCTTAGCGCCCAGAAGGTTGAAGGGATGACAAGTGGGAAGCTGCTTCACCAAGGTACAGATTTCCGTTTTTCGCAAGCTGAGGATTACGATGCACAGCTGGGACGATTGGTTTTTTCACGTGTGGCGGATGCTACCGTTCGCTACGATGCTTGGCAGCTGGAAAGATTGCAGGGCCTGTTATTTCTCTACTGATCAACGCTTTGGCGACTTGAGTTTCTCATGTTGTTTGCGGCCACATGTACGGCACAGGGTTCTTGCAATGAGTGCTCAAAAGTGCAAGGCAGGGAATTGATGCAGGTGTATTCCAGAATGAAGAACATCTTTTGGATCGATAAGTTTGGATTATTCTCGGGTTCCGATAATTGGCTTTAATGACTTGGCTTGATTGATCAATACTTGGTACCGTAGGGAGGGTTTTCTCACTAGTTCCTTCACAATCCTTCACAGATAGCCACTGGTAGACAAACAATGGCAATGGAAGATCTCCGTTTTAAACAGCAGGAAAACAATGTATGTATAATATATATATATATACGTATATTATAATTGTGTATATATAGGAAAACCAATTTATATCTATATATATATAGTATACACAAATGGGAAACGTTTCCAAGCAGAGGGTCTATGTTTATCTCCCAAAAAAGTCTCTGGCTTCCGGCCCTGGAGTTTTCCTCAGCCGTCTCAGGAAAATTGGCTCGAGAGCTTGGATGAGACCCTGCAGCAGCACGGCGTGAGCCGCTGTGATGAAGGGACCAAGCGCCTCGGCAGATTGCTATGGGACCATGGCATAATGGGACCCGTGGGATCCTGATTTGCTTCCCCTGAATGTGTTTCCTTGTCATCTAATGTCATCTATATATATATATGATATATGTCTCTATCTTCATCTTTATTTTCTCATGTCATTTGTATCTTCATCATCCTTCATCACAAAACACTGCTTTTGCTGACCCGGCAATCAAAAAGCTTCGTATGGCTTGAGGTTTATCGCCAGAACTCAAGCTGGTCACTTGACCAAACTCTTTGTCACTTGGCATATGATTTCTATAGGTTGAAACCATCGTTTCGCTCTGCCTGTTTCTCCCAAAACGGGATATATACCCCTTTGATGGCTTCTTAAATGGGATATGTAAGGGTTAAATTGCAACTTATGAGGGTTACTACCATGAACATATCCATTAATGATGAAAAACAACATGGGGTTGTGGAGTTTTCATGGCTTTTCAATTTTGAGAGCTAGCCATTTCGACTTTTCCGCCACGCAGAAATCGCCCTTCCCCCCTCTGTGCAGGTGATGTTTGCCTTTCAGGAGACTGACGAGGCCGGTGCCATTCACTGAGGACACAGCGCAGTCTGCGTAGTTTTCAGCCTTTGGACAAGACTGATGATTCCCTGAGGATTGAAGTCGCTTCATGTCGCTTCCAACTTTCATCTTTCCGAATCTTTCAGATCCACTTGAGTTCTTGGAACCATGGCTTTGCCAGCGAGACGAAATTGGCACGCTGCTGCAATGTGCCAGGTGCAAGGACGCCTGTGGCAGTCACTGCAGAGGAGGAAGGAAGAGATGAATCTCCTGCAGAGGAGGAAGGAAGAGATGAATCAGGAGACCAAAACATGCCAAAACCACATGCCATACAGTTGGGTTGAATATGCCAAGATTATCTGAGATAGGTCACGAAACTGGTTGGGAAACGGTCTCCACCCGTGGTTCGTTCGTCTGAATACATCACTCATGTATACCCTCTGGTAATTTTCACCCTCGGGCATTCGAAAATCTACCAATCCACCATTTGAGATGGTCCCGTTGAACACGAGATTCTCTAGCGAACCATCTTTAGATTATGGGAGACTCCAACAGCAATTGTACCTCTAGCCGCTCTAGCCCTGATTGCCAGACCAGCCACAAATTTCAATACTCAAAGGTTGAGGATCGGAGCTTGTTCTCCTATGGGCTTCAGATCCATATGCCGAGGAGAAGTGGTTTACTGAAAACGAGTGGTTTGTGACGAATCAGCTGCTGAGCTTCAGACGCCGGAAGGGTTTTGAAAAGCTAAGGGAATGTTAATTTCCCTGCAAACTAGGATCATCGTGAGGTATTTCAGTATTTCACTAAGAATATGGACCAAGTGACCAAGGCTACAAAATAGCCCAAAGATATCCGAAGTATCACCAAAAATAGTGAAATCACAATGACATCACCCATCACCCAACCATTGATATTCTACAGATTTCTACAGTATCCACTTTTGGATGACCACAGTCAGAGCTGTTACTGCCGCCAGCTGCGTGATGAGTGACGCATGGATAAGATTTACCCAGGAACAAAACACTCTGCCCTAATGAATTCCGTGTATATATATACACATAATACACATAATACATATACATATACATATACATACAATACATTCCATTACATTACAATACAATACAATACATACATACATACACACATATTATATACATATACATATATATATATATACACATAACGCATATTACGGATATGATAGATCATTGATCATGAAATACTATGGTGGATACCATCAATAGTCAATAACAATAAGAATGCGAATAGAATCGCCTTTCAACTGGGTCCATTTAAGAATCCATGACTGATCCATTCCCAGGCAGGGAGAGGAAGTGAGTCCTCCCAGGGAGCCTTCCGAAGCGGAGTGCCTGGGTTGGGGGGTTGAGAGTGGGACAACTGATAGAGCCAATAGAAAGCGATGGGTACGAAGTACTTTCCAAGAAATGGGGGTATGACATTTTTTCTAAAGCAGGTCTATGGTCTAAAGTATTAGATGTTCATAACAATAGCAAGGTAGACTCTTTATTTTGTATTGGAAGAATGGAAACGGGTGATACAACCAGCAATTGTCATGCACATATTTGCATGTATGAACACGAAAGGGCACATGTGGCACAAGCATTGGTACATCATCAACGTGAATGAGCATGTCTCAAATGTGAGTCCTCCTGCACCCATTGGCACGATTGAAAGCCCAAGACAAGCATGGAGTGTGGCAATGTAAAATACTGTAAACTTAGGCCACATGACATGCCACAGGTGTTTAAGTCGATTCTTCCCATTTGTTGGAATATCCACTTCCGTAAGGGTCTCCCCTGCCAGCACGCTGGTGAGCTTCGGGACTCCCAGTGTTGACCCAGCTTCGAGGTTTCCCTTACAGGTGCGCTACCCAAAGACGGTAGAGCGACCTGTGACCGAGCTGGATGCGAGTGCCTCCCCCGCAGATTGGGGGCAGTTGTGGCACTGGGGCTGTTGGGAGATCCCTATCCTTTCTGATGTACAATATACATTGGGTGATTCTCTCTACTGGGGAGACAAACAGAAAGACAGGCTTGTCTTTTGCCACGGAGATTCAATGGTGAGGGCCTCTCCATTCTCAGCTCAGGGATTTCACTGGGTCACCCAAAAGCATCACAACTTGATCGATTTTGTGGTATTGCCAAGCTTTCTTGCCCCGATCCAAAAGAGCCAGGCAGAAGATACCGCATATGACCAACCCCAGCGATTGTTGGCTATACTCCCATTGTGAATCTTTGTGTGCGATATCCGACATTTCTTCCAGGTAGCTTTCCCTTGACCCTGACCTTCAAGGACAGCGGGCTCAGCGGATCTCAGCGGTATGGTTTGTCCAAGGCCATGGGAGACCCAGACAGCTTTGGGCAACGTTGGCAGCAAGGGCAGGTTACTCAGACCCTTTCAACTTGGAGCCAAGGATGATTACGCGGTCATGGGGGCGTTAGACCTCGCTGGCTATCGATCCTCTGAGCTGTACCTAGAAGCGGCAAAAGGATGTCTTCCATGGACATTTAGCTGTCTGCGTTTGCAACAGCAGCTGGCACCAGGAGGACCATCCTGGCCCGTGAGATCTACCATGCTAGCAGCTTGGTGGCTCCTAAGAGAGATAGAAGCGTCAAGGGCGAAGAGACAACACATCACTGCATGTAGATCGAGACCTGAAGCGCATAACATGGCGCCCACCCAGGAGCCTTAGGAGCAGAACGCACACACACACACATGTGCAACATCGTGCAACATCGTGCATTCTCGACACCGGAGATGTTACCACTTGATGCTACAACAACTGGAAGAGAGGCCATCTAATCGCTGAGCTACGCCATCAAAAGCGGGTTCGGCCCATAGAAACATCATCCATATGGGCCATATGGGACTATGGGTTTGTCTGAAAATATGCAACCCCCACCCCCATGGGTTTTTGATTGCTTTCCGAACAAAAACACGTGGTAAATATTGGTAAATCATGGTAAATCCCTAATTTTCAGACATCATTCAGTGTCATGTGGTAAACCCAAGAGAAAACCATCCCCAAGTCACTATTCTGATGGGTGTTTCAACCATCCCCTGTCATGGTAGGTTTATGAAACCCAGGGTTTCCCTACATGGTAGGTTTATGAAACCCAGGGTTTCCCTACACGGGTCCATAATCTCACGCTTTCCCCGTGGCGCATGGCGCTGATGCCAGGAGTACGTGGTGTCCATCGACCATCGCCCCGCGGCCGGCGGTGCTGGCGATGTGGCGTCCACCTTTGATTTCCGTGAAAGCGCCGAGGGCTCCAAATGCCTCGTGGTGGTGCGGGACAATGTGGGTGCGGCCAAGAAATGGAAGGACGGACCGGGAGGAAACTGAGCAACAAATGAACCATGAACAAAATAGCCTCGTTGATTGGTTAATATAGGGACTTCTACTACTATTGAAGATTATGATAATGATAGTATTTCATATTTGTTTTGTAAATAGACATCAGATCGCATCACTGTCATTGGATTTTGTGATGGATTTTCTTTGTACTTCGCAAAACCGGTTTACTTGTTGCTTAATTTTTTGAATCAAACGCACACACACACAGAGAGGCTGTCCAGCTTTGGAAGGGAAAACTAGTATCGCTCCGCTTCGCAGCTTGGAAGATCCTGGCTGGGGGGTGACCCCTGCAGCCGGCAAGGACAATAGCACCAGTGTTTGCTTGCATCCTGGAGATAGGACAGTCTGGTGGGGCTTATACAGTGGACGCACGCAGATTTTTTTTGGCCACGAAGGAAGGGATGCCCTTTGGCTGTTGTCACATGTTATGTTTCGAAAGAAGGACATGCAGATTCTACATGTTGTACGGTCTGTGAACCCTAAGTTGCGTTGAACTGTGGAATTTTCGAGTCGAAGAACTTGTTGAATGACCTGTAATGACCTGATGACTTCAAGAAATATGTGTAAATCCATGGCATTCCTGTGACCCCCCTGCAACTTGACACTGCAGGATCCTGGAGGTCAACGGCTACACGGAGGGTTCAGAGATCCTGGAGCAGTTGGGACGAGCTGAACTGTTGAAGGCATGGCTGCGGAGATTGGGGGCTGGGGATTGGGAGATGTTGGGGGTGTCTGAATTTATGGCGATTTCATGGTTACCTAGGAAACTTGTCTCAGCCTGAGTGGAGATTGGAGATCACTGATGCCAAAGAGCGGCTGGACTCAATCTATAGTTGAGGACTTTCATCAGCCCACCCACATTGAACGAGGTATGGGTCAACCCTGAACGTCTCACAATGCCCATATTATAATGCCAGACTTTTAGTCTTCAAGAGTCTGAAAACTCAGAAACAAATGACATGTCAGGTGCGGCTTCAGCAGAAGGTGCGGTTCGGGTTCGGAGCAGGGTTGAGACTTGGAAACCGTGTATTCTGAACGGGACCCAACAGATGACATAGGTGACCATGTGACAGAGATCCCAAGATCCTCTTAGCATATAGCTATCCAGAAAGGGACGTTGAGGCCTGATTTTGACATATGTTTTTAGTGTTTTTAACCGAAGCTATCCGAAGCTTATTTTCAAAAAGAACAAACAACACCGTAAAATATGAGGCTTCCACAGCGTCCCACTCTCTAGCTAGCTTAGCCATCCGCCGTTTGTGGATCTGCCCAGCAATCTGCCACTTTTATCCCCTAGCGACCCCTGGGATGCGGAGGGCAGCATCTTCAAGACGGACGTTTTCAATCCGGAGGCGCGGATCCGCGCGGATCCGGGATCCGAGGTGCAGGCCTTGTACCGTTGTACCGTTGTAGCCCTATGCCTATAGGTGGCTGGAGCTTGGTGATACCAATTGAAACATGGCGAATGGCGAATGAGTCTGATGCCAGTGCAATGATTTCGGAATCTACACAGTTCTGCACATAGTCTCGGTCCGCAGGGTATCTGAGACTTGGGAACTCTTAGTTTGGTATGGAAGTTGCGTATCCAATTATTGGATAGACCAGACTAGAAATGACCAAACACTATCGATTGAGGGTCTTTGATGTTTGGCCTAAAATCACTCAATTTACAGACATATTTTAGGGTATGTGTGTGAAAATAGGGTACCTCAAAATCAAGCGGTTAATAACAAGATTGCCCTAACTTGGGGGTTGATCCGAGATCCATGTTAATCAACCATTTTCAGACCCACCCAGTTATTTATGGTAAAAATCTAGAACGAGAAAAACACATGTCAAAACAGAAAGTAACTGAACCTGTATAGAATTGTACTGAATTGTACATGTTGCAGATTATATATGATTATTATATCAATGTACATGTACCCCCTCTTCGACCATATATCGATATGGTAAAGAATTGGTAAATCTATAAGAATACAACTGATAATTGGCAAAGAATAGCTAATTTCTATTTCCATACATTCTGTTAAAAGATCATATAGTTTCCAGATCTTCCATGGTATCCCCTTGAAGCCTCCAGGATGACATGCGGAATCGCCTTCAAAGTCAGGCGAAACCTCGACAGCAGGAGCGAAATCCTGCGCTGGCGGGGTTCCAACCATGGGTTTGTTTGACAATGGGCAATTAAGCCATGACAGCATGGGGATACTATGGGCTATCATGGGATAATATGTAGATTCACATAGGATACATAAATAGCTGACGATATGTCTAATATATTAATATATATATAATATATATATAATAACTAAAATTAAATAGATATATATATATATATCTTACAGTATGATGGGGAACCAGCCAAAATGGAGATGTAAACAGGAATGATGGGATATTGATGGTTGTACAATAAGTGGGATATACAGCCGACTTGATGTGATGTATTTTGAGGCTTTCTGAAAAAAGGGATTAAACCCTGAACGATATTGTCATTTCAACAGGGAAAACAATGATTCACCAGTGGATGGAATTGGCTTTCCTATTTCCAGACACTGTTGGACACAACCGAGGATGGTGCAGTACTGCTTTCTTTTGTTTTGCAGAGGTTGCGAGTACATCTGGAGTGGTTCTGGGATGTTTGGTCCAGCTTCGCAGCGAAAGAGTGGCGCTAGTTCTTTGGGGGTTCTGCTCCCTGCCCAAAAAGAGCTCGGCCCGAAAACGATAAAAAAAACGACATAACTTTCTTGGGACGTCAAGGATCAAGCTGAAATGATCCATACCTACCTGGGTCATTGATGTCATGAGCATCATGAGCATTATGAGCAACATGAGCATCATGAGTATGATCGTGTCGATCACTAGGAGCTGCTACGAAGACGGGGTGAAGGCGACCCTCCCCTGTGTTTCGCGACAGCAGCGACTCGGGGCCCCGGGGTTTTTCGAGATTGGCATAGTGTAGAAGGCCATCTGAACGGTTCTTTTTATCCATAGCCTCCTGTACTGCAATTTAATATAGCTATGAGAAATGGCCCATTTTACAGATGATTTCCTATTGAACATGGTGATTATCCATAGGTCCATAGCTATGTCGGTTGACTGGAGGCTCCATGATTCTCCAACCCATGATTTTCCCCATCATTTTTTAACATTTTCAGCAAAACTGCAATCTGCCAAGACTGCCAAGTGCAAAAAATGCTACGTTCGCGAAGTGGGTGGCCACCATTTTTGACTATTTTGACTTGGTCTCCGGTCTCCAACTGGGCCAAGGTGTTTGTGGTGGCCAGTTGAAGCTCCTGGAATTGCGCGAGCGAGTGAAGCTGCTGGTGGACTCGACGCTCGAATACGCTCGAGCTCGAGTTGGGGGTTTCAAGAAATGATGATGTTTTTCCACATGGGTCACGCATGGCCCGGAAATCCCTTCGAAAAATGAAGATCCTGGAACTGAATTTGCTGGATTTTCCAGTGCCATGTTTGATTAGAGGGTAAATGATTGTAAATTTGATGGTAAATTTGATGATAAATTTGATGGTAAATTTGATGGTAAATTTGATGGTAAATTTGATGGTAAATTTGATGGTAAATTTGATGGTAAATTTGATGGTAAATTTGATGGTAAATTTGATGGTAAAATTGATGGTTAAATGATGATTAAATGATGGTAAATTTGATGGTAAATTTGATGGTAAATTTGATGGTTACATGATGGTTAAATGATGGTTAAATGATGGTAAATTTGATGGTAAATTTGATGGTAAATTTGATGGTAAATTTGATGGTAAATTTGATGGTTAAATGATGGTAAATTTGATGGTAAATTTGATGGTTAAATGATGGTTAAATGATGGTAAATTTGATGGTTAAATGATGGTTAAATGATGGTAAATGATGGTAAATGATGGTAAATGATGGTAAATGATGGTAAATGATGATGAATGATGGTAAATGATGTTATCCAGGAAGTATTGTGGTTTTAACCGTTTTGGGGGTTGTGGACAGGAACATTGACCCCTCAAAATTGATCACATTTGGATGGTGAACTGCCATACCCAAATGGTGTCAACCGACGGATTTGGCAATGGAACCATGGTGGTTGCTGGTTTTGGGTTCTAGAGCTTGTTTTGTGTTTGATTATGAAGATACATGAAGATACCCATGAACCAACCAGTACAAGGAATTTCTGAGCGGCTTTTGCCACTGTTTGGTTGAATTGAAGGAAAGCCAATATTTGGTGCAGCTTTTAGGGTGTTGATCATATGCTTGTTGCTAAAGTAGATACTAGTAGGAGCCAGGAATGGGTAGGATTTCCATGGATTTCCATGGATTTCCCCCGAGTTTCCCCCGAGTCCCAGGGACGGTTTCTTGGAATACGCTGGGCGGCGCTTCTCGGTGGAGGACTTGATTCAAATGAGCGCCGTGTCCTGCGACCTTTGCCACAGATCCATCCAAGAGGACCTATGGGGGACCTATGGGGGACCAAGGGACCAGGAAGAGATAGGTGGTAGCACTGATTTTTTTTGGGGTAGAGGAAGTGACATCAGTGACATCTGAATATTTGAGAAATATGATATCTATATATTTGGGTTTGCGTCGAATGCCCATTGTGGTCACTGTTTCATGAAATACACTTTCTGGGGATGGTTTTTGGCTCACATCGCAAAGTCACCAAAGTATACCAAAGTGTGATTTGGAATGATGGAGTACTTGCAAGAGTCCTTGAAGATGCAGCGCTCCCTGCATGGTGACCGTGCCCATCCCGGAATTGCAGCCACTTTGCAGAAACTCGGGGATCTGGCTGCGCAAAATGGAGATCCCAAGCAGGGCATTAAGTTCTTGCAGGAGTCCTTGCAGATGCAGAGGTCCCTACACGGAGACCGTGCCCATCCGGGCATTGCGGCCACCCTGCACAAGCTTGGGGATCTGGCTGCGCAGAGTGGAGATCTCAAGCAAGCCATGCGATTTTTCCAGGAATCCCTGCAGATTCAGCGGTCCTTGCATGGCGACCATGGCCATCTTGGAATTGCAAGGACATTGTACAAACTCGGAGAAGTAGCCATGCTGAGGGGAGATCTCCAGCAGGCCATCGACTTCCTCGACTTGTCTTTGGAAATTCAGCGAGAGCTGCATGGTGACCGTGCTCATCCCGGCATCGCAGTCACTTTGCGGAAACTCGGGGATGTCATGGCCCAGACTGGCGATATCACAGAAGCCATGAGACATTTACTGGAATCATCAAGAGTACATCGCTCCCTGTACGGCGACAAAGCCCATCCGAATGTGGCCGATGTATTGCACTCGCTGGGAACAGCAAACCAGCGGGCAGGCGATTTCAAACAAGCAGAACATTTTTTGGAACAATCCTTGCGGATGAAGGAGTCGCTCTTTACTGACAAGAAACACCCAAGCCTCAGACTCACCTCCAGTTTGCTGGACCAAGTCCGCACGACGGCGCAATGCTTAAAAAAAATCAATGCCTCTGTGCTTCGTCTCGGTGAATTGTTTGAGGATGAATGTGCAGATACTGCAGACACTGCAGACGGAACCCCGCCGCATGAGTTCAAGTTTCATAGCTCCGTCTTGTCAGAGGCAAGCTTGATTCGGCAGCTTGCCAAGAAGATTTTGAAGGTTCATGGTGCCCAACCTGCCGCAGATTTGGAAGCCCAGAACCGACAGACCATCTCAAAGCCTGAGGTCACTCGAGAGGTTGTTTTCGGATGGTCTACGCAAATTTGCCGGACGATTGCAGGTCTGACTGAATTTATGGTGGCCGGTACACATAGTGATACCTTCCAGACTGCTTGCAATGATATCATTGGGCAAACCTTTGCAATAGAAGATCTGTTGCTTGACTTCATGTGGGCAACCAAAGAGGCGAGAAAGTCTGAGCAGGACTCCATCATCCAGACCTTTAGAAAGATTCGTGAAATTGCACTGGAGTGTGAATCGCAAGTTGAAGAAGCGGACATTTGCAAGGAGACTGATGCTGGCAAGGTATTGCTAGAGACATTGTCAATTCGGCAGCTTGCTGAGAAGAGCCTGGATCAGTACCGAGCTCCTCTTGGTGAGCGATTGAAGGACCTTGAAGAAGACACAAATTCAAAGGTCTTCGGCGTCATTGTTGATGCTGCAGTCAAAATGGTGCTACTCCCAGGCAACAACGACTCCAACTACCTGCAAGTGGCGTGAGATAAGCACTTAGTTTCACTGGCTCACAGGGCAAAGATCCCAGTACTTGTACCACCTTGCAAGATCTTTACAGCTTTGAACAAATTGGCAGACCCATGATATCCCATGATTCTGTGCTGAGCTGCGTCCCACTTTTGTGGCGTTCGTTGATTCGTTGAGCTGCCCCGGAACCATCTTGAAATTTGCAAGTCATCCCACTTTTTAGCAGGAGAGGCCGAGACTATGGACCTGTCACTTGACAAGACTTGGGTGACCCGAAAGTTCGGGACTTCGGATGTGGAAAGATCAGAGAATCGGTGGAATTTATATGAATTTATATGAATTCCGGAATACTTCAGGTCCCTACTCAAGTCTGAATGATTTCTGAATAGCACATATATTGGGGGAGGGAATCAGCATCCATTTGCATCCATTTGCGAGCTATTTTGATATTATTCACCAGGGTATTCGTACCAGGCGTTTGACTCATAGCCTCATCTGATTCAGTGACGTTTCCTCGCTCTTTCTTTGCAAGGCACATAAGGCACATGCCAATAGCCATAGATCAACGAAACTGATTGTTCTTCCGTTGGGTTTTCTGTACGGTTGGCCGCTAGCCCTAGTTTAGCTGATTAGTGTCAGCCAAGGGTCACATTTTGAGAAAGACCCCTTTGAAGCTGCCAAGGTCAAAATGGTGCCAATACTATTCTGCATGCCTGGGGCCAAGCGCCGGGGACGGATGGAAAGGTTGAATGGATTTCTCCCTCCCTAAAAACATATGAGCAGTGTTCAAAATCCCTCTGTCATTCCATTATGCTGGTTGGTTAATAGGGATTCCCCTATTGGATTATTATAATCCCCAATATATTTGATAGTATAGTATAATCCCTTATAATCGTCAACCAACAGGGATTTTGAACACTGCTCATAATATGTTGGTTGAGGGTGTTATATGAGTTATATTATATGTTACACACACAGAGACCTATCACATAAACATGATTCAACATGTGTATAAACAGATGCACACGCTTATTAAAAAATAGTATTTATACATCTACCCACATGCATTTTACATGCATAGAATATCATAGAATTATAGTATAACCCCTTTCGCTGATAGTCAAAATCCTCTCAGAAATCCTGGCTAAGCGGCTAAGCGACGGACTCTTTACTTTTGGGGTCATATTCAGAGGGGTTGGAGAGATGGGTTTAGTACTGGTGAGGCAAATTGCCCATGAAACTGGAAACAGAATCCTGGCCTCCAAAAGCTAGAACTCCACAATCGGGTGCAGCTGTACTGCGGACATGTGGTGACATGTGATTTGAGGCAAGGTAAATCTCATCTCAAGCGCCAGTTTCATGGCCATGTATTCAAAGTCACCCTGCGGTAACCTGCCTAGTGGATCTGCGAACATGGAATATTTTGGAAGAGAAAGACTGAGAAACACCAAAACTTTGTTGTCCCTTTATGGCCAGTAGAAATAGCAACATTCCCAATCGATTCCCCAAACAGTGGTTTAACCAGCTGGACAGTCGAAAGGGAAACATATCATCCTTGATCGAGGCGCAGTCCTACGACGTCTGCGAGCAATGCTTCAACAGCTGCTCTGAGCGCTGAGCTTTGGTGAACTGCACCGTGCGTGAGAACTGGGGTCCCAAAATAGCTACCTGAATGGGGTGCAACTGTGATTGATAGTCCGTGGATGGAATATGGTGGAATGGGATACCAACGGATGCCATATTTTCAGGTTTTTCATAATTTTTGGAACTTTAAGCAATAACTGTAACAACCCCTCAGTTTGAAAAAATATGGATGAAGATCATTCAAAATAAATTTACTAAAAAAATGGCCCATTGAATCATTGTTACGTAGAGGGGAGGCTGTAGCAGCTGTTGTACTCGTTCCTATCCTTTCCTGGGGACTCCCTGATTGAAGCTGTGCCACTGGTTGACAAGGAGAAATGCAAGGTCCTCGGGGCCAACCCTGGCGTAAACCCGTCAATATGCCCAACACTTCGGAGGTCGACATGCTTGAAGGGCACATTTTCAATCCATACTTTTGCACCGACCTATGATGGCAGTGACCGGGAAAGTTCATGTAATGTGCGAGCATATCGAATTCCCCGCACGGGCGACAGGGTACAACATACTTGTGAGTTATGGTTCAAAATGGATGTGCAGACCATCTAAGTCCATCTACGAAACGGCAGATGGTTTAAGGTTGTGACTTCTGCAAGAGTGGACGAAGGGAATTTGAACCAGTTGGGCAAGGAATTCCATCTATCAGAATGTATTTGTTCTTCGAAATCAATTAAACCCGAGAATGCGAGTGACGGCCAACGAGTTTCTTTTTCTTGTGGCTGTTGTTGGTAGAGTTCAAGTCGGGCACCTTGAACACAATGTGTATACATTATATACAAACATAGAGGTGCAGGATGGTGCAGGTGTATCAACGACCATGGAGGAACATGGGATTTATTTTGACCCAGGCAGTGCAGAATTGAATAGGGGTAGCTGGGGTAGCTGGAACATTCTTAACAGCGGTCGACGATAGCATCGGATTTGCGTCTCGATGTCAATCCGTTACTCAGTGAGGCATTGCTCGACTCACCGTCGCCAACCAATGGAGCCAATGGAACAAAAACGCTCGCGGCAAGGAAGAGAACCCATGTTGCAACTCTTCGGCGATGGGAGATTCCCATTCCCATGGCGAGAAAATGGATCTCCCAGCCTTTCAGCCGATGTCACAATGCCCAGGCCCAAGACTGTTTGCAGCGCATACACGTTCATACATGGATACATGATACATGGATAGACGATGATGGACGCATAGATCATCATAGATCCATAGATCATCATAGATACATAGATACGTAGATGCGTAGATACATAGATGCATGCATACATACATGCGGGCCATGGCGGGTGAGCCGCGGGTGAGCCGCCAGTGGATCCTGCGGGGCGACCCGAAGTTAGCGGCAACCTGTTCCTCGCATTGCACAGAGGATCTTGTTCCCCGAAAATCAATTAATTTCTACTCACCAAAGTAGTGATTACAAATGGGTAGAATGAGTCATCGAGATTTTCTGGGATCGTTCTGATGTTTGCAGCTTCGGCGCCGTAGAACTCACTTCTCGGAAAATGCTCCACGCTTCAACTGAGTCAAGCAAGGCATAGGGCCAATGTGGCTCATCATCAATCACCAACAAGTGTAGAGAGGAGCTTGAAATTCTTCAGGGATCTAACGCTCCAGTGTGACCTGCACCATCCTGCACCTCAAGCAGCTCAGGATTGAGAAGTTCAAGCAGATAGTCTTGTTCACGGATGGGATGTTGCTAACATTCGGCGCTGGCGGCATATGTTCCGTTGCAGGCAGGAGTGATTGCGTCAGGCAGTCTGTCCAATACACTTCGGTGAGATGTGACCAGGTCAGATCTCACCGAAGTGTATTGGACAGCCCTCCATTGTCCTCGAAGTGTAGTGGACCCGGGCATTAAGTCCTTGCAAGAGTCCTTGAAAATGCATCCTGGTGTGGGACGACGTGGGCGGCCAAGAGATGGAAGGACTGACACCAAGGAGGGGGAACCAGCAACTTTTGTATATATATATATATATATATTATATATATGCATGTATAAATTATGAATACTTAGGATAGAAAACCTTCCAATTGCATTTTGATCATTTTATAAACATAAGTAAGATCGCATCATTTTTCGTGAATTTCATGTTTTTTGAAAAGAGACAGAGCCTGTCCAGCTTTGGAAGGGAAAGCAAGTTTCGCTTCGCAGCTTGGAAGATCCTGGCTGGGGGGTGACCCCTGCAGCTGGGCAAGGACAACAGCACCAGTGTTTGCTTGCATCCTGGAGATAGGACAGTCTGGTGGGGCTTATACAGTGGACGCACGCAGATTTTTTTTGGCCACGAAGGAAGGGATGCCCTTTGGCTGTTGTCACATGTTATGTTTCGAAAGAAGGACATGCAGATTCCAAATGTTGTACGGTCTGTGAACCCCTAAGTTGCGTTGAGCTGTGGAATTTTCGAGTCGAAGAACTTGTTGAATGACCTGATGACTTCAAGAAGTATCAGTAAATCCATGGCATTCCTATGACCCCCGCAACTTCCCATGGAACGCCCTCGGACACTGGAGGATCCTGGAAGTCAACGGCTACACGGAGGGTTCAGAGATCCTGGAGCAGTTGGGACGAGCTGAACTGTTGAAGGCATGGCTGCGGAGACTGGGGGCTGGGGATTGGGAGATGTTGGGGTGTCTGAATTTATGGCAATTTCATGGTTATTTTTTGAGGAAGATAATGGTTTATGACTAACCAACTATAATTAATTCCATCACCTAAGATTAAACACCCCCTAGAAAGAGGTAGATATGTTCAAATCCACTACTAAACGGTGTTTAACATCAGGTGAAGGGAAAGTATTGTGTTGAGGGAACTCAGCCGTGGAGATCGCATGGATCTCCTCTGTGGTTGGGAATGGGCCCTGGCGACATGTGGGTTTTCTGATGCCAAAGAGCGGCTGGACTCAATCTAGTTGAGGAATTCCATCAGCCATTGAACGAGGTATGGGACCCTGAACCCATTATACGTCTCACAATGCCCATGATATAATGCCAGACTTTTAGTCTTCAAGAGTCTGAAAACTCAGAAACAAATGACATGTCAGGTGCGTCTTCAGCAGAAGGTGCGGTTTGGGTTCGGAGCACGGTTGAGACTTGGAAAGCGTGTATTCTGAACGGGACCCAACAGATGACATAGATGACCATGTTACCATGTTACAGCGATCCCGAGATCCTGTTAGCATAGCTATCTAGAAAGGGACGTTGTGGAGGCCTGATTTTTACCGTGTTTTTAACCGAAGCTTATTTTCAAAAAAAACAAACAACACCGTAAAATATGAGGCCTCCACAGCGTCCCACCCTCTTAGCTAGCTTAGCCATCCACCATTGATCTACCGAGCAATCTGCCACTTTTTTTTACATCCCTGGGATGCGGAGGGCAGCATCTTCAAGACGGACGTTTTCATCCGGAGGCGCAGATCCGGGACCCAGTGGAGGATGTGGAGGTGTAGGCCTTCTACCGTTGTACTCCTATGCCTATAGGTGGCTTGTTGGAGCTTGGTGTTGAAACATGGCGAATGAGTCTGCCAGTGCAATGATTTCAGAATCTGCGCACTTCTACACATATTCTCGGTCTGCAGGGTATCTAAGACTTGGGAACTCTTAGTTGGGTAT